ACAGCAGCGGCCATTTTCGCCTTCTTCGCTTGATCTTTTTGCGCTTGTTCACGGATTCTCATTTTTTGAAGCCATGAGCAGATACCACGAGTGCACATAACACGGAAACCAGTGCACAAAACTAGATTCGAATTTTTTTGCCGCTGAGAATTATGAATCGGGATGCAAACAGCAGCAAAGCAGGTATTTTACGACTCCCTGCAGCAAAGTCACTACTGTTTGTAGTTACAATGCAATCGTTCAGAACTGACTTCCAAGAATGTCCTAAATATCTCTCGACATATTTGTTCACCACTTCCTAGGCCAATAGGCGTAGTAGACTGTAGTGAGTAACCTTCTGGAGCAAATGACGACTGCCCCGAGCATGAACTTCTTTTCATCCTGTTCAAGGTCAAATATTACTCAGTTTGCGTTGAAGAATAACAATTACATTCGTGAATGGCCGAACTGAGAAAACCCTCATGATTTCTCTTGGATTTCGTATCCCAAGTTCCTCTACTTGGCTGGATAAATCGCCTCTTGATTTCATCATACTGGACTGGAACTTGTAGATAATAGCGAGCAATGAATTGGTGAGTGAAGTATATTTCAAAAGTAATAACCACTCGATTACTGAATACGTAGAATACTCCAGTATTATAATGATATGAACACAAAAGCTAATGTGACATTACAGTAGTACAATAGGAAGTACGTCACCACTGTTGTAAATGCACGCGCTGATCCTATCCAACCTGACGGCCAATGCAAGAGGTTGGAATTGGCTATTGATTTCCTAACACACTCATACAGCACCAAAAGCTATCTGTCATTGCTCATTTTCAACTCAACATAACACAGTTGCAAATCACCAGGTGCACATCTTGGCACATAATGTGTGCTGTCGCAGTCCACCGCAGAACATAGTAACAGATAACTACCGATATAAGATGATGTCACACACATACATGCATGCGCGCTCCCACACCCACACGCGTGCGCACACACACACACACACACATGAAGCAGCTGAAGAATCCGACTATGCAGTCTCCCAGGCACGCGCACACACACGAACCAGCTGCCGAATCCAACTATACAGTCTCCCAGGCATGCACGCTCGCACACACACACACATGAACCAGCTGCCGAATCCACACAAACACGCGCGCGCGTACGCACACACATGAACCAGCTGCCGAATCCGACTATGCAGTCTCCCAGGCACGCGCGCACAAACACGCTTATGCGCACGCGTGTGTGCGCGCACACACATGAACCAGCTGCCGAATGCGACTATGCAGTCTCCCAGGCACGCGCGCGCGCGTGCGTGCGCACACACACACACATGAACCAGCTGCCGAATCCGACTATGTCAGTCTGCCATGACTGCGAAACCAACGAAGACATACGGTGCATTGGCTGCTGCCAGACTGGTCTGCTACAGGTTTGCGACGCTCTTGAGTACACTTGTGGCATGGCAGGCCTCTCTTCGAAAAGGAAATGTTACAAATACTATACTGAATCCGATCACGGGAGGCCGGCTGTGGTGGTGAAGCAATTCTGAATGCTGTACGCCACTCTCCTCGCTGCTGTGCAGTGTCGAACCAATGTCCTTCAAGATGTAAGTGATGGATGTCTCTTCGGACAACATCACACCAATGCTGTCGGGTTTCACACACACACACACACGGCGCACACCTTGTCGACAATTGCGGAATCTAAAACCCACCAACGGCCTGAAACACGGATCGCACTGGCCGCAGTGGCTGTGGCAACACCGTGCCCCAACACCAGTAGTAACCTGGGGTGGTGTCACCAACAAAGGAAAACGCCTAGCACGCACATGCACGCGCACACACACATGCACGCGCGCGCACACACACATGCACGCTCGCACACACACATGCACGTGTGCGCGCACACGCACACATGCACGCGCGCGCACACACACACATGCACGCGCATGCACACGCACGCGCACACACACACATGCACGCGCCCACACACACAAACACGCGCCCACATGCACGCTCGCACACATGCACGCGCGCGCACATACACAAACACACGCACACCCAGAAATGTGCACACAAACACGTGCACACACACACATACACAGCTAATGGTATACAGTAGTATGTTGCCCGCAAATCAGCCAGGTGCTCTGGCTTGGACCTCCAGCAGCGCTGGTTTCGCCCTCACTACTTGTCGTCTTGCCCTCTCCAGTGCTGCCTGCAACAAAACATTCCCTTCCGGAAACTCTGGGTGGACCAGTTCTCCGTGTTGTGTTTACGCCGTGCTCTGCTTTCATAATTACCGGTATGGCATTCGTTCTTCGTATCAACCACTAAGCTCCTGGTAGGTGGCCCCTTACTGGCCTTAGGATGTGGCTCTGGGTTCACTACTACATGCACATCACTGTCAGCAAGTATAGACAAAGCAAAATCAGAGGCACTGGTCTTCTCCAGGTTTGCAATTGCTATCACATGGGTGCAATTGGTGTAGCACTTTCCATGATACCAGCCACACCATTTACTCCTCCCTGAGCTCTTGTGCTGGCAGAGAAAAGCCCAGATATGGTCGTCCTTCTCTCGAGCAGCGCTGACGATGCGACACCAACTTGTAGTCTCGATATTACTCACTGCAGGCTTCTCGTTTTTACTAAATTGGGCGCTGTGACACAGACACAAAATTCCAGCAATATTACTCCGCTGGGCTGTCATTTGCCACTTCGTTGCCGTCAGCTGCCTCATCCAGCACCTCGCTACCACTAGAAACGTCTTCCTCTTCTTCCATTGTTGTCAAAACAACATCAATGTACACGAAAGGAATAAACTTCAATAAAGTGATCACAATATCCCAAGTCGATATTGTCGTCAACGTCGTCATCTTCTAAAAAATAAATTATTTTTCCTCACTCCACGCGAACTCGTGTTTTGCGCTTGCTCATACGACGCACACCTCACCACTCGCGTAAAAATATTTGTTCTCACGGTGGAATTTGGTCGAGAAAGAAGCCCTCGCGAAGGTCTCTGGATCGGTTCTGGAACGTCCAACAAGCGAAAACGTATCCTTTGTGATGTCCTTGACCAACACTGTAAGCGGCGATTTGTCCATCCGAGAGTGCAACGGCACTTGTGATTTTGAGTTTTGGCTCACGGACTATAGGATAATTATTCCACCCCTAGGCCCTACGCAAGATCGGCAGTAGGTCGTTATCATAATAATGAAAAAAAATAATATTTACCAAGCATGCCTGCAAAAGACTACAACTACTAATGTGAGTTCCAGTGAAACTGGTGCTACAGTACCCAGTACCGGTAATCATACAGTACCGGTAATCATACAGTACCGGTAATCATACAGCACCGGTTACCGGTTATCATAAACAGCACAATCATTTTCTTCAAAAAGTATCTAAAAAAATGTGTCAGTACGCCCATGCCTGTAGCAGGTGGCAGCCGTCAGGAAGGAACATATCACCATCCAGGCATCCCAACGCAAGCATCCAGGCATAGGGCCCGGTAAGGCTAAGGTCTATGCTGACTCTGAACACAGGCTTGGCAACTCCGCACCCAGGACTTTACAACGGCTTCCTGTCTCATAAACAATGATAAGCGACTTCCAAAGTGGGTTCCGATACTTGCTACACTTTATTATCTGGTTTGATAGCAGAACACACTGTGCAGACTGTCCCTGGATCACTGCACACTGCACCAATGCGTGAACAATGACTTCACGTCAGACACAGCTAGCTGCCTCTGACTAACACTTCTGATGATGTGATTATAATTATAATAAGCAACACTCATACTATATATATAGGCAAAGCAGAATGCAAAGATCAAAAATATCTCCTTTCACTGGATGCAAACCGCCTGGTCATGACGTACACCCACTGCACTAGCGGCATGCAGACTATCCCAAGATGACTGCTGCTTGTCACAGACCAAAGAACAGAAGGGCAAGTCGTATTGTCACCGTTGAATCTGATCATGCGCATGCCCAGACAATCCCAGCAAACACATGCATGGAGTTTGAGGTTCTTGCCGGCAATTTAATACCACTGGTAGCCGGTGTGCTAAGTAAAAGAGAGAATAGACGATGACCACTAAATGCCTGGTCAAATAGCACCAGCATGCCAATAGACTAGCAGTCCTGCAAAAATAAACTGGCAATGCTGTGCATCGATATCAGCATGTAGAAAATATCATACCACCTCATCAGGCTGCTCAGTAAAGGTCTGGTCATTCTAGAGTGTTCTGGGGCTGTTTATCAAAAGCCGAAGTGTGAATCGTGTTTCTTCCTCTAAAGTTAGCTTGGCGCGATGTTTAGCACCATCATATCTATGTCCTAATGAAATATGACAAGTTTCACTCTCCAGCACAGAGATGTGGGCAAAGCTAATAGGTTGGCACTGCGATGACCTGCCAGCACTAAGCCCCATGCATGGCTCCATGCCTAGATGAATATACAGTACATGTACACGGCATTGATACGCAAGCAAATCGATTATTCCACAAAATTGGCAAAGGAACGAAAGGATATCTAGTCTCATATTTGTTGCTTACTCTCAAGCACTGTTTTTGTTGCCAACATCTTACTCAGGACGACTGGATATCATAATAATTATGACATCATTCAATGCCATGCAAGCCACTGAGATCCACTCCAGCTAACTTGCATGGCCCAATAGATGTGGGTGCTACACATATCATAATACTCATCTGGAGGAGTCTAATTCTTCAAGCATTGCGGCGACATCTAAATGCAGAGGGGCCTCCTCTGCATCCCTCTCAAAGTTGAGCAGTAACCGGCAGGTAGTGTGCAAGCTCGTCTCACATCGCACACAGCGAATATAGCAGTTCAGGTGGTGAGATGAATCATAATCACAGGGTTTGCAGTGCATATACAATATACATACCATACCTGTGCACTGATGTCAGGTTGTGTTCATGTTCCGATAGATCAAGTAATCTGTGCAATGCGACCACCACCGCCAGTGCCCAGTGGCGGCGTTACTGGACAGCGCGGACACTGCACTGCTGAAAGACGGTCGACTGGCTAAACGTGATGTTCACCTTGCTTTCGTCCGGCTCTTCTTTGGACAGATCTGGCACGGCAAACGCAAAACGGCCGTGTTCCGCCGGTTTGGCCACGGTGGCCAAGCAGAGCTGTGGCGGATTGCAATCAAATGCTTTTGGCGAGCCAGACATCAGACGCGTGAACGAGCCCGAGACAACCGGTACTATCGTCGGTAAAACCGGCGACTCAAACTCATTCGAACCACGCCGACTCAGGTGCATCTGTGGCGATGGACTGAAGCGTGGCGTGTCTGATACATTACCGATGGGTATGGCAACTGAACAAGTTGGCGATGGACTGGCTTGACTGGATTTGCTGGTGACCGGGGAAATTGTCGATGTGCTCGTAAATACATTGGGATTTGACCCGTGCCGGGACACGAGATGAGCAAGCGGGGGGCGCCGGCCGTCTAATGTCGCCTCCAGCAGCTCCGCGTTTGGAGTCCCCAGCACGAGGGCATCTAGTTCTGAGCTCACGCTGCCCACACTAGCACGGGAATTAGCTCTGGGCAGGCGGGTAAATGCATTGGGTGATCCTGCCACAATAAAGCCAGCATAGCTAGTTGAACTGCTAGAGCCTGCAGCACCAACACTGGCGCTGTTGGCATCTAAATTACACTCCGTAGCCATGTCAATACTGCTTGGTCGAGATGTTCTCCACGATCCCATTCCACCATCACCATCTATCTCCCTGTCTTGTCGCCCTAGCGGTACTGGACTTGCGCCAGGACTTCGGCGCATCTTTGCAGCACTACTTTTCCCCGCCGCTGACGCTGCTGGTGAACCAGGACTGCGACTTCGACTATTAGGATCAGGCGAGGATGCTACGCGAAACGAAAATGGTGATGAAGAAGGAGATGGTCTCTTCTTGCCTGCTGCTGCAGAGCTCCAGTCAGCAGAAGCACTGCTCGGCGCACTAGACGCAGGTAGAGCTGACTGCGACGCAGCTGAACCTCCATGCTGGCTGAAAGTTTGTGTGGCACGCAACGGTCGCTGATGCGCTGAACGAGACGATCCACCCGAGGAACCTGGACGGCGTGTGGAGCTGCCCTGCGACATATCCACGTCTCTGTCAGGCAAACCGTAGGAAGGTTATCGTACCCAACGATGGGCAGGCTCGCCAAACAGCCGTCGTGAAAACACAGGGTGAACTAACTTCACCCACGAACTGCCACTGTCCTCTCAAATAATTTTCGCTTCTACACCTTGCGCTAGCTATCACACAATGCATGCTACCGCATAAATCATGCACTCCCTCGTTGCAAGTCATTGGCTCTTTACTCCACTTCACTCGATCTGGATCAGTGATGAGTAGGTCGCGCGAGTGGATCAGCCTAGCTCTACTCACACACATTTATTGATTCTTTTTTTTATTTGGCAGGCCAGACTCGCCTGCTCCATCACCCATCACTCTCTCACTTGTCTCAGCAACACTTGTTATGCAGCGAGTAGCGTCACTCCATGGTATCGGATATGTTGTTGTCAGTAGAGGTGCGCGCTAATCTAAGCTGCCATGAATGGCACGCACAGTACAGGGACTACAGGCACACACACACACACACACACACACACACACACACACGTCGACGTACACACACACACACACACACATATACATGCACGACGTCGACGGGCTAGCAACACGCACACGTGCAAGCGCGCAGGGGAGGCATCCCGCGCGGCCTCTCCGGCGTCGAGAGCTTGATACTGCTCGCTGAGCCGGCTGACAATATTCTGCTTCTGCTAGTTTTGGCCTGAGGCTGAGCCAGTGAATCTAGAGTTGAGGAGTTGACCATGGTTGACACAATGACAGAACCTTACTACATCCACACTAGTACAAGTACAACTACAGTGCAGGTGTGCTGGAGAAGGGTAATGCGTAGCAGCACATGTCATCTGAATCATCTAACGTTATACTATAGGCTACTGCCACTAGCTGGAGGAGTAATGCCAATGGAACAGGATCAGTCAAGTAAGTTTGATACTGCACTGCAGATAGTAGTTGTCATTGTACCAGCAGTCAGCACCTTGAACATGATGATAACATGAATATTTTTGAACTCTTAATTTTCCTCTTTTTAGATACACCTGCACCAAGCTCAAAAATAATATTGAAATAGTATAGGGAACCTCCTCCATAATGTGGCAAAACTCTTTGTGTGAAATGCAAAACTTGAGAGTTTGTGTCCCTCAGTTCAGCATTATTGTAGACTACGTGTTGTCGGCAAATGATATTATGGGGTGAGCTAGCGGAACCACTTATGGGTGCTAACAAGAGTGCATAAACCAGAGTATGCATCTGTGGTTGTGGGTCAGTGCGCGGCGCGCTACCTTCATTACGTAATTTGCCTCCATCGCGCTCTGAAAGCATGCACTCAAACCCACAATTTCTTGTACGGAGCCCATCCGGTTTTGGTCGATTCGTTCCAGCACCTAAAAAAATCACGGTTTGCGTGAGACTCGGCCGAAGGCCCAGTTTTCCGCATCCGCAGGAACGCCACCACCCTCTTGGATCAAGGCAGGAACACCACCACCCTCTTGGATCAAGGCAGGAACACCACCACCCTCTTGGATCAAGGCGCAGATGCAGCTCCTAAGCGGTGGGAGGTGAGTAGATCAGACCCACCACAAAGTGGTCAAAGACCGAAATCCCATTCACTGCATCCATGTTTCCCTCGTGCCAGGCCACGAGTTCCCGATTAACTGTGGGTCGCAGCACGGCTGGAAAAAATCCTTCCGCTTCCAAGCAGGACTTGAACCTGGTACTCTCTGTTTCTCAATCATGGTCTTAGACCATCCCACTATGCCTGCCAGTGCCTGCACCTACACGATCTCTAAATTCTGGCACGTGAACTCCAGTTCCGTACGAAAGTTCATTTCAAACCAGAGGGAAAGTGCGGTGTTTGATTTTCCGCAGTGCCCACACTGCAGCTGAATGATGTAATGAAGGCAGCGCGCGCACCGCGCATCTGGCCCATAGAAAAGAGATCACAGTTGCATACTCTTGTTTATGCACTCTTGGCGCTAAGTACACAGCGTGAGTCAGCAGACCGCTGCTGGGCGCTACAGTACAGTACTGTCGGGTAGCGCCGAAGAACGGCCAGGCTAGAATTTCACCAAGCACAGCATACCAATGTATACAAAGTGACGGAACTGCGCATGGACTGCAGTACATGAAATAGGAACAGTCTAGGCTAGGAGACCGACCCCTAGTTCTTCGGCGACCGACAGTACGGTATGTATGCAGCATGAGTCACCAACGCATCGCTGGTACCATGGTGCTGTGCTGTGACTTTGCCAAAGCATCTCAACTGATGATGGAATCACATAACCTCTGGAGGATTGAAAGAGATGACGTCGGGTGTCAAAATCTAACGACAAAATTTGTGTTCAATAGCGACTTTCGAGGATCCACTCTGCCGAGCGAAATGCACACAGGTCAGGAGGGCCCAGTCCAGTCACTAGCGGCGGATATGTCACTATGCTGTGAAGGAAAACCACGAAACTGGATCCAACTGGATTCAAAAGTCAGCGTTCTCATGACTCCGGGCTGGCTGTGACGTAGCACTTTCAATCCATAGTATACTGTTTTCTAGCTTGAGGTTCTCATCGCTAAATTTGTCGTCGACAAGGGGAGGGGGGTTGCTAGATTTCGGCTGCAAAAATGCTTCCATGTTTATTTTTTATTATTACTTTTTTTACACAGGGATGCAGTGAATGGGATTTTTGTCTTTGACCACTTTGGTGGGTCTGATCTTCTCACCTCCCACTGCTTTAAAATCCATGAAGGGTGGCTGGGTGTTCCTACGGATGCGGAAAACTCGGCCTCTAGCCGAGTCTGACGCGAACCGTGAATTTTTTTCAATTTTTACACATCCCTACTGGGAAACATGTGGATGAGAGCATAAAACAAGACGAAGGGGATGTAGGACCGGCGTGCTAATGTACCCAGAGCAACTCGACCAAGCAGAGGCCTCGATGTTGGCGTTGCAATCAAGCATCGTAAACTGATGGGGAAAGGGGGATGGGGTGTTGCAGAAGAACTTGGACAGCAGAACAAACAGAAGAGGGTATCACACTCTTTGCGCTAAACTTGCACCAACTAATAATTTGAATGATGACTACATGTAAACTAAATAAGAAACCAGGAAATCATAACAGACTACCTAATGATGCAAAGTGAATAAAAATGGAACAGGACCAAGGAACTACAAGTTACGCTACAATGTCCACCAACACCACCAGTTGCTTGACTATCAGCTCATGCGATAACATTGCACAAAACTGACCGACGGTACTCACGTTCTACAACTAACTGGCTAACAGCTCTAGCGCATCTTGGATGCGCACTCCAACAGCCTTCCAACTTGGAAGGTTCTATGTTATATGAAAACATAAGAGGGGAAGGTGAGCGCAACCAAGACAAGCGCAAGCTGAAAGTCTCAGCTGTGAAGGACGTTGGCAGATGAACATGCATGTCGATGACGATACTGGCAAGACCATTTGACAATATGGTCAAACCACGATTCATGAATAGAACGTCAGTACTATCGGTCAGTTTTGTGCAATTTTATCGCATGAGCTGATTGTCAAGTAACTGGTGGTGTTAGTGGACATTATAGCATAACTGTTACTTGTAGTTCCTTGGTCCTTTTCTTTACTATAAATTATTCATCTATCGTCTATCCTGATGAGCCGTCCTTATATACGTCGAAACGATCGCCGTGTGAAACTGCTGCTTGTTACTGCTGCTTATTCATCTATCGTCTATCCTTCCACACCTGATGAGCCGTCCTTATATACGTCGAAACGATCGCCGTGTGAAACTGCTGCTTGTTACTGCTGCTTGTTACTGCTGCTTGTTACTGCTGCTTGTTACTGCTGCTTGTTACTGCTGCTTGTTACTGCTGCTTGTTACTGCTGCTTGTTACTGCTGCTTGTTACTGCTGCTTGTTACTGCTGCGTGTTACTGCTGCTTGTTACTGCTGCTTGTTACTGCTGCTTGTTACTGCTGCGTGTTACTGCTGCGTGTTACTGCTGCGTGTTACTGCTGCTTGTTACTGCTGCTTGTTACTGCTGCTTGTTACTGCTGCTTGTTACTGCTGCTTGTTACTGCTGCTTGTTACTGCTGCTTGTTACTGCTGCTTGTTACTGCTGCTTGTTACTGCTGCTTGTTACTGCTGCTTGTTACTGCTGCTTGTTACTGCTGCTTGTTACTGCTGCTTGTTACTGCTGCTTGTTACTGCTGCTTGTTACTGCTGCTTGTTACTGCTGCTTGTTACTGCTGCTTGTTACTGCTGTTTGTTACTGCTGCTTGTTACTGCTGCTTGTTACTGCTGCTTGTTACTGCTGCTTGTTACTGCTGCTTGTTACTGCTGCTTGTTACTGCTGCGTGTTACTGCTGCGTGTTACTGCCGCGTGTTACTGCCGCGTGTTACTGCTGCTTGTTACTGCTGCTTGTTACTGCTGCTTGTTACTGCTGCTTGTTATCCATCTAAATTGTCATAGTCTATGTACAGTTCTGTTTAACCGAGGCGTTCGGTTTTTCATGGTTCATGGTTCATGGTTCATGGTTCATGTTCGCTTAGCTTTCCCTCAATCTTTGAATCTTTAGAGCCACGCAAGTTGTGTCACGAGTATGTTGCTATGCGTCCTTGAATCATGGTTTGACCGTATTGTCAAATGGTCTTGCCAGTATCGTCATCAACATGCATGTACATCCGCCAACGTCCTTCACAGCTGAGACTTTCAGCTTGCGCTTGTCTTGGTTGCGCTCACCTTCCCCTCTTATGTTTTCATATAACTTAGAACCTTCCAAGTTGGAAGGCTGTTCGAGTGCGCACCCAAGATGTGCTAGAGCTGATAGCCAGTTAGTTGTTGAACGTCAGTACTGTCGGTCAGTTTTTGTGCAATGTTATCGCATGACTGTCAAGTAACTGGTGGTGTTAGTGGGCATTATAGCGTAGCTTGTAGTTCCTTGTTCCTTTTCTTTACTATAAATTCGTCATTGGAAAACACTGCAGAAAAAACATGGCAGAGATTGCTAGTGGACCTTGGCCTTGAAAGTCTGTAGAGCCTTCAAGCTTGGTGGGATGTTGAGTACCTCATGGGGCCCATGCATCGTTAGCTGCATAGGAGAATACCCGGTGAAGCAGGTCAGGGAGAAAATTTCGTCTGTCAATAATTTTGTCCAACTCCAAAGAAAGGGAGTTCGTCCGGTTGTAAATTTCGTCCATGGATCATAAGAGTGTATTGAAAAGCTGGATAAATCGACATTAGTCCGGCCTTTAATTTAGTCCAAAAGCTCCTTGGACGAAAAAGACGAAATTAAATTCCAGACGAATATTTCTGCTTACCGTATACAGTAACCCCAAGAGTATGAAACTCTACATAATTGTGGGGTCTCGTGTGGCGTGCTGCCTACATACATTGTCTGCTTACAAGTCCACTTTTCTTGGAGATTTTGTGTGGCTGTGTGACGTGTCACACACAGGCATTGCCTTTGAACTTACCGTATTACGCTTGAAACCGTTGTGGCTAAACCTTAGGAACTCTAATTCAGGCAGCTTGGTCATTATTTCACTTCGTGATGAAGCTGTCCCCACAGGATTCCGCGGACGCGCAATTTTCCGCGTTATTGGCTGTCATCCGCGTTTTCGAGAGATTTTGCATAAAACCCGCGTTATTCATGGAAATGTACAAGAAAATAAATAGTACAGGATGTTGAAAATGTACTACAAAGTCGTACCGGTGCATGAGTTTGTACGACAAAGTTGTATACTGACATGAAACTGCATGCTAAAGTTGTACAAATGACAGAGAAATCGTGCATAATGATCGCATAATCCCGCATATTTGCCGCATAATGGCCTGTTTTCGCCCGCATAATTATAGGATTTCGTCCGCGTTATTCTGTGAGGACAAATGAAGGCAGCGCGCCGCGGAGAGCACCCATAGCTCGGAGATCAGGGGTTCTGGATATTTCAATTTCATTCGAGGGCTACTACTTTGTTTCCCGGAAAAATGTTGATATTTCCGGATAGTAGACACCCTTAGCAAACAATGGTGACGCTATATATTACGGTACTCGTACCTTGATCATCCAAATAGCGTTGAAGCTGCAGCGTAAAAACGTTATGGTGGCTGATTTATCGTTGTGACCAACGGTACGTGTTTTAGCCAAATATTGCATAGTCCGTACGCATTTCACCTTGTATCGCGTCTATGGTGACAAAAATGGTTGTACCGCGCGAAATCAAAGGTACAGTCAGACCTCGCATAACCGCACACATCCGTTTTCCACAAAAATATCCGGATAGGCGAGGGAACCGGATAATCGAACACACATACTGTATGTAAGCATGGCATATGCTGTACATTTGTAACCAACTATTTTCTTCCGGATGGCGAGGGATCCGGATAAAAGAGGACCGGATAAGCGAGGTCTGACTGTATTCTCGTGGCAACAGCGTACTAAAAATAGCGTGCATCTTGCTAAAGGTCGAACCCAAATCACGGTATTTCCCCCCTTACGATAGTACCGTTACAACATAACGTTTTTTGCTAAGGGTGTCTAATGTCATCATCTGTCCGAATTTTCAGGAGTGGAACGCACTGAATTGTGCATGTGAACATTGCACTGCCCCCCCCCCCCCCCTCCCTTGAACCAAGACTCCCACCACCATTCGATCCAGAAGACAAGTTCGAAATTTTCATCTGTGTGTATGGTCAAGACAAGTGCATAGAGCACATCAAGTGAGTACAAGTTAATAGCATATCTAGTCCTCCCAGTCCTCGTCATCATCATCAAACTCATCATCTTCATTGTCGGAGTGAATGACCTTGCTACGATCAGCCAAGGCCTTGGCAAGGGCATTCGCCATACCACCTCCACCGGCTGCTTCCGGCTCATCCTTCGTAGAGGCGACGCCTGAACCAGCTTCAACCTTCTTGAGTGATGCACCAGCGCGGATCGAGTCAAGCAGACCACCGCGGCTACCACCACCACCACCGCTTGGCGCAGCGGCTGGTGGGGGTCGTGGCCCTCCACCGGGCGGTGGCCCACCTCCTGACGGTGGAGGTGGTGGTGGTGTCGGTGCTGCTGGCGGCGGTGGAGGAGGTGGTGGTGCAGCTCCACCTCCGGACGATGGCGGAGGAGGTGGACCAGAACGGGAAGACGGCGGTGGCGGTGGAGCTCGTGCCCCACCACCATGTGATGGCGGCGGCGGTGGAGGCGGTGGACCTCCTCGCGAGCTGGGTGGTGGTGGAGGGGGGCCACCACGCTGTCCCCCTGCTGCTGGTGCTGGTGGAGGTGGTGCCATGGCGGCGCCCAGGCCCCCCAGACCACCATTGCTGTCCATCTCACGCACAGCCTGCTCTATGCCACCATGCTGCTCAATGTAGTTGAGAATGAACTCAGCCGTATCTCGGTCCTGCATCTGCTCCTCGGTAACACCAGCAGCGCTAAACAAACGCTTCCATTCTGGTGCAATGTTATTGGAGTCGAATCCGCTCACGGGATCCCAGCCGATATGTGACAGATGCTGAAAGTTACTCGGACCGGAAATGTCGATTTTCCTGATCTTGCCTTTGCCGTCCTTGTTTTTCTTTGATTTTTTATCATCTTTCTTGCCCCAGAATGAAGGTGAAGGGTCTTTCTTACTGGACTTCATTGTATTAGGGGCTGGTTCTGGTGTTGCTGCTGGAAGTGGTGGGGGCTTTGAAGGAGTAGGTGTAGGCGGCCCTGGCTTTGTGGCGACAGGCTTCTTATTCGTCTGCTTTGCCATACGCCTCTCCTGGCGTTGGGAAATCTTCCTCTCCAACTCCTGTGCAAAATTCATTGCCTCCCCCTCATCTGCAAAATTCAGACCGATCGTGCAGTTATCGCCTTGAAACATGTGGAAATATGGCTTCGGTTTCTTGTAGGAAAATTGACTGAACAGTTCTTGATCCCAAACGACTTTGTAGTCCTCCATCTCTATCAAACGAATATAGTAGCTCTTCTTTGGGTTGTCCTTGACAAAGACAATAACACCAGTGTTCGTGTGCGTCCATTGTGTCGGCTGGGGCTGAGCTTTGTGCAATTGGCAAACTGTGATCGCCATTGCAACTCGGCGGTTTCCCAAAAGCGAGATGATCTTCTGATTCTCCTCATTACTAAGCAGGTTAGAGCGGGGAACTTCAGGGTTTGCCATCTTCCAGGCCTAACGCCTAACGCCTACACTACGAATACACTGAAAATGCAAGACTGGCTTAGGATAGGGAGAAAGAAGACTAATTCCAAGGCATCTCCAGCAAGGAGAAACTGAACGAAATGGATAATACACAGCGCGGTTGGCCCAAAAGCTGCGATCTACAAATTGAAGTGCACCGTAGAGTCTATGAGCTTCACGTACCGTGTGTGTACTGTGCGCCTGTAGCTGTGTCTTTTTTGACGAGTGTTTCCGGTTCTTCACTGACTTCAGTTCACAGTTTCACAGTGCACCGTAGTGTGGTTCAGCACTGGCAGCCTCACCTCATTCCGGAAGAGCTGCGTAGTGCGCATATAAATGCCCCATATACACACAGGCAAGACTCGGCAAGATCAAAGAGTAGACTACGTAGATTATCATGATGGGGCACTATCCAAGAGAGAGAGAGAGAGAGAGACTCGGAGAGAGAGAGAGAGAGACTCGGAGAGAGAGAGACTCGGAGAGAGAGTAAGTTACATTTATAAAGACAGGTAAGTCTAACAAATGAGGACTGAGACCTCTACAACAGGGTTTTTACGCCTGAAAGCAGGTGCATGATTTAACAAGCAGGTTGTCAGTCTAGATTTTATGCGCAGGAGAGAGACTCGGAGAGACTCGGAGAGACTCGGAGAGACTCGGAGAGACTCGGAGAGACTCGGAGAGAGAGAGAGAGAGAGAGAGAGAGAGAGAGAGAGAGAGAGAGAGAGAGAGAGAGAGAGAGAGAGAGAGAGAGAGAGGGAGAGGGAGAGGGAGAGGGAGAGGGAGAGGGAGAGGGAGAGGGAGAGGGAGAGGGAGAGGGAGAGGGAGAGGGAGAGGGAGAGGGAGAGGGAGAGGGAGAGGGAGAGGGAGAGGGAGAGGGAGAGGGAGAGGGAGAGGGAGAGAGAGCACGAGTGTACAAGTACGAGTGTACAAGTACGAGTACAGGGGAGGCACTATCTTTTTCAATGCTGGTAATCAAGTTTACGTCCGACGATGATCCGGCAGTTGTAGTCTTTGGGGTGCTGAGTCGAATGGTCTTAGTCCGAGGAAGCTGAGACACTCCCTTCCTCCTTTATTCCCAACCGAAATAGCCACTTCCACCCAAACTGGGTGGCTGCGCCTTACTAGATGGGTATTGAGTATGCAAAATGTCACTAAAGGCGCCGTTTCGTTCTTATAAAAGCACAGATCAATGCGATTGGCCCATATGTTGTAGTCTTTTGGACGCTAAGTCGACTGGTTTTGGTCCGAGAAGGCTGCGATGCAGTGTTCAGCCCTTATTCCCAATCGAACATGGTTGAATAAGCGTTCACGTGCTCATGCGTACACCAGTCACCTGGTCACCGTGCCTAGCGCCTGTGCAGGCCCAGTGCAGGGTCCACAGTTTTAAATTTTACTTTCACACCAAGGTTCAACTCGAGTGACAGAAACGCGCTCAAACAGGCTATACTTCCCCTCTAATGTTTACATGTAAACTATCACGACTCAACAGAAACGGCAACAAGAGCTGTGATTTTGATCCTGGAACCACCAGTGCAATGACATGGACAAGAACATTAGAGAAAGAACACCAAACATGCACATGAGCTTGGTTACAAGCCCGGGGAGGGGGGGGGGGGGGGGGGCACTATTCAAGAGAGGGCTATATTTTTCACTGGCTCTTTGAGAGACTGGGGCACTATTCAAGAGGTCGCTAATCGCGCGAGTACAGTAGCCTCGTAGACCTACTAGCTACTACTCGTACTGGGCTACGAGTACTGTTGCGTGGGTGTATGGCCTATGGGGGAGACCTGTACTGCACTAGCACTGGAGCCAGTGGAGGTGGGCCGAGGCCTGTTTCGTTTTGAAAAATAGTGATATCTGGTACCAAGAGTATATAACCCCCCCCCCCCCCCCCCGGTTATATACACCCCGAAATTGGATATTTGGGGGATCTGTTGCTCAAGTTGCCCGCTATCATCCACCTGGAACTTAAAAGCGGGTTGTCGGGGTGGGAGAAAATTCGCACAGCGCTGCTGGTATTGCAAGCCACGATGCTCAAACAAATTCATTTGCATAGAAAGCTCTCGCTGCTGTTCTTTGCCGGCAAGGCCACGGGAGGTGTCATTTTCCCCACGCTCGCGAACTATCACACACAACCAGCAATGCGGACTGCCTTCGAGGTGCTGGGCGCAAGTGCGTTCGGTGGCGTGATAACTTCAAAATAATAGTCATGTATTCAGAAAGATACTCAACTCGAAGTTTGTACAAGCATGCGCCGCAGGGTCTATACAATGCCGGGATGCGCATACACAAGCACAATGCCCATCTGGCCAATTTTGCCGCACTGTCCGTCTTGGAAAAGCGCGATTCCGCGATTTTCGTGGGTTTCCGCGTACCTAGCATTTTCCGTGGAAAACGTGCAAATTCCTTCATTTTGCCTCAATTTTCAGTGAATTCGTGAGCCCACCATGTACAAGTTTTCATGCATGGTGCGTTCTGTGCGCTGCTACGTGTACTTCATGATGTACATGAAGTGTGTGCTGTGAACTTTTGTCCCGAGGGCTGAACTTTGACATCGCACTGTTCTTCGCGCTTCAAAATTCCTTGCCAGGTCCTCCATTCACGTTTTACTATCGTTGCAAGATACTGCAGTTTCCGCAAATTTACTATGTCTGGCACACATTCCCACATTTTTCACTGTTTTCGCCCGCAATTTCTTGCGCATAATTCCGAATTTTCCCGCGCGATTTCCCAGGGGGACAGAAGGCCATGCAGCAGCCCAGCATTCAGAGTTGTCCAGCGGAGGATGTTAAAAACAAGACTTGCGAGCAATTGACGAGAACTGGCATCTTCCTAAGTTCAGGGTGGTGAATACATGGCACTGCCGTTCACAGCACTGCTGCACAATATTCAGTCATGTATGCATAGTTTTAAATTGTAGCGATTTCTCGGATACATCGTAGGCTGTGAAGACAACATGGACATAAAAACACGGATTCTGCAAGAAGTCCATCGAAAAGTTATTTAAAAATTCAGCAAAATGGTAAAAATGCACCAATTACAGCTGTTCCTGGTAGCCTACACGCAACGCTGGCAGATTGCATATTCACAAATATATTTAAAAACAGAAGGGATAGGAAAGAGATACATCATCATCAAAGAAGTAGTGTTTGTTGTGTTGTCATGCTACTGCAACGCGAGTGGAGACAAAAAAAACAAGATAAATGGCATACACCAGCTTCTCCTTTCTGATGACGCACACACGCTCTCTCTCTCTCTCTCTCTCTCTCTCTCTCTCTCTCTCTCTCTCTCTCTCTCTCTCTCTCTCTCTCTCTCTCTCTCTCTCTCTCTCTCTCTCTCTCACACACACACACACACACACAGACACACACACACACAGACACACAGACACACAGACACACACACACACACAGACACACACACACAGACACACGCCAATACAAGAAAGCGAGCTAGTCAGTGCAGCAAAACACCAGTAGCCTCACCAGAGCCAATACAATCACAGGGATACGGAGAAAGGAGTTAACATTTACTGGCTCTGCAACCGGTGGATTTCGTCGATGAGGCGTCGTGATGCTGCCTTAACGTCAACCGGAGTGGCACTCATGCATACACAGCGCACCCGCGTCTCATCCTGTTCGGCAAGAAAACCACCACAGAACAAGATAACAACTTAAGAGCAAATGATAGAGCACAGGTTGCTGTGATAGTAGCACTGCTACATCACAATGGCCGTATGTGTACATAGTCACCATGTCAATAGAACCGTCCCCAGGCAGGCAGGCAACGTAATAGCCAGCAAGCGCCAGCGACTCGGAGGAAAATACAGCACCCGCAACAGCAATGCAGCATAATGCTAACCTGGTATGTGTCGGTTTTGGCACGCACTCGTACATCATAACGCTTCCAGGTAGCCTGAGCGAAGGCTTCATCGTACTCTTCTTCCATCTATGAACCACACATACCCACCCATACCGAACGGAGAACAGAAACAAGAATCAATTCCAATTGTACATGTCCAACTTTACATGCTGTGACCCAAGTGATCCTGTTCCACATGCACAGTCCATTATTGTAGGTGACATTTTGGGGCTACATTCTGAAGTTTCAAGATTTACAGCCAAAAATCTTCGTATTTCACTAAAAAACTGTAAAAAAAAATAGGGTACCAGCGACGGTCAATATAACCATAGCGTGACCGACGCCCCTGACCATGCCAGAGACCCCCCCCCCCCCCCCTCCATACCTACAACTGTTGACACTACGCTCTAGAACTCACAGATTTCAGCTCTCCCAGCTCAGCCGCTGACTTGCCCAAGAACAGCTCTGCTTGTTCATTGAACGAAGTAACCCACTGGTTGCTGGAGAAGTCGCCAACGTTGCACTGAGGTCAAAACAGCAACATGAAAGTACATGTACAAGTAGGTTGCTTCAAACACAAGTACTTACAGTACGCGTCAAGCCACAGTACTACAGTGGAAATCGCACATAACGAATTTGTATGTAACGCACAAACTGAACACTAATTTTCGTAGCAAGTCCATACCCAAGATTGGGTTTAGCGCCAAATCAAATGTAGTGACTTTTTTAATCTCTCGATGGAGTGTCCTTTATCTCCATCGTCCCTCACAAAACACATCGGCATCATACATGACATGGCCTGAACCATGTCGATACTTGACTGTGATGTTCAGCGAAACACAGTGTTCATATGCTAGCAGAACAACGTGAATGCACCCTTTGCACAACTGCATCTTTGCAAGCAAGCAAGCAAGCAAGCAAACACACACACACACACACACACACACACACACACTTGCTTGGGAGGATGATTCAGTAAACTCCAAACCCCACCCTATGGGTGAACTCCAAATATATGAACCCACTTATGGGCTCACCACACTGTAGAAAGGGGGTAAGGACAAAGAGTAATGAAAGGATCTACGGCATCAGGGTACTCGCCCGGGGCACCAACCGCATTTACCCCTGCCTCCAGTGAAGGTACATGTAATACTTGATACCAGTGTGGCTTGCTAAATCAGAGTGGATCTGTTAAAGGCTTCATTCGCACCATTGATTACGCATACACATACACAAACACAGACGCACACAGTGCACCAGTCACGCTTCGCTAAGTCTTATTCATCGCAAGGAGCAGTACAGCAAGGAGCACAACGGCTTACACTGAGAAGAAGGCGATACTTGAAATCCGGATAGGTCTTGTCACACTTCTCACACCGGTAGCCACCATTGTCTTCTAATACCTTCTTCTTACAGTCATCAGCAGGACATGCCTATCAGTAGAAACATGCAACAAAACATCAAGACAGGAAATGCAAATACTAGGAGACAAACCATTTGAAGTAAAGCAGGTATTGATGAGGTAGGTCTTTAGCAATGTCAGTTAAAATGAACCATTTTACAATGTAGACTAGCTCTGATACTGCAAAGGCAGGGCAGATGGGACATACATAGAACGTAGCGAAGGCACTCAGACTGCGCGGCCACAAGCGGTGACAGTGATCAGTGGCCACGCACATCCGTTTTGGTCAAGTGTCGTCCGATGAAACAGTAACTTGCTACAATCACTAAAAGCTGACATATACACGCACCCACATACCTGATACAGACAGTTGTCTTTCTTCAAATAGAGAATAGTAGCCATGGTACTGAAGTAGTCAGGCTGCAACAAACACAAGGAAGAGAATAGTGTAGGCTTCCTTCCGTTAAAAAATATTCTGGTAGAAGTTTAAAAAGACGACCCCCCCCCCAAAAAAAACACTCATGATGATGCCCAAGAGTGCGCAACTACAGTCTTTGAGGTCTGTGTTGGCAGAATTTCACATCACGTGACATACACGCACACAGTCACACACTGCCTTATGCCATGTGCTTTGTGTAGTACTCAGTGGCAATTTGTTAAAAAATAACAATCGAGCGGAGACGAACAAAATCAGTAGTGTGTTCCCTCCCGGGTTTATACAATTGCCTGGGTACAGCTCTCTGGTGGTCACTTTACACTGGCCGTCAGCGTAACCTATTGAACCATGTTATATTAAACTCTGCGGTTGAATTACCAGAAAGGTTCCCTTACCTTATCACTGTAACCGAGATTCTCGTCCTTAATCTGGGACAGGACTTTGAAGACGTTTGTATGGCCTGAAACGCACAAAGAGGAAACATAACGAAGAAGAGTTTGAAACATTAGTTGTTTTAACCCTTTGAGGGTCCATCATTCGAATTCGAACGATATGTAGTGCGTACCGTAAAACTGTCGCAACTTCATTGTTTTTAGTCCTGTTGCAAATATCGAAACATGTAGATCAAAGAGGAAGCTCCAAGCTTTCCAATAGTGTAATCGCTTTTGCGATAGGAGAAACGATGGTAAAGATATGGCGCTCGAAAGTTGGATCGCGGCACTAATTTGTTCAAACTGCTCAAAATCAATATTTTTGTCGCGTGCTTCGGGGATTTCCCGTGGATGACGTGGTGTGCAGCCAGCTCATGACGTGCGGCCGTAATGACGTAGAATCTACTGATTGAGATGCAAAAAATCCAGAGCTGTGCGAGAAACGACTGCGAAATGGCCTCGGGACGAAATTTAGAAGTATTTCTTTCACCACGAGGCCCGACCTTTGGCGATTCGCTGCGCTCTGGAGCAGGCTTTGTGGCAACCATGGAATTGAGCTTGGCCTCATTCGCTTGGCAGCGGAAAGAGCGTTTCAAAGAGCCCTAGATTGTCAAAATCAAGCAAACAGAACGTAAGTTATGGTGGAAATGGTGGAGTGAACCACAATAGGGCTTGAAAGTGCTACGTCACAGCATAGCAACAATTTCAAAAATTCAAAAACTGGATCCACTTGGATCCAGTTTTTGTATGGATCCAAGCACATTTCAAGCGGTCTTACCCACAGCATGGTGATGTAGCCAGTGAAACTGACTGATTCGGCTACTGGGGGCGGGGTTACAACTGGTGGCGAAATAAAAGTCACACCTGCATACGACATGAGTGGGTTGCTATGCACCTACATACTTAGGCAATAGCAAAGTCACACCTTAGGCTTAGTGGATCCAAAAATAGAAATCTGATGTCAACTTACTACTCCCTGGCCGTTTTGACGTCATCACTTTCAAGCCCTATTGTATATTTTCACCCGAATGATGGACCCTCAAAGGGTTAAAGACGCCAACAACAGCATCAGTTGAAATATGTGCACAGAACAGTAAGATTACTACAATGCATTTGGAAAAGTTTGCAAGAGAAAAGAGTGCACCACCACAATGGTCCCATCCAGCCAGTAACATAGTTTACTGAACAGGGCTAAACAGAGTGCCAACATAGCAGCACAGCTACTAGTAGGCACTTCAGGCGATTTTTTCAAAACGAGAAATACGCGTATTTCTTTTTTGTATCCGATTCAGATAGGTTTAGGAAGACTCCACAGAAAATTTGAAGCAAAAAGAATAACTTGGCACAGAGATATAGCCACCCAAAGTCGGAGAATTGAATAACGGCATTTTCAGTATTTCGACGGCACCAGCAGCATATCAGAAATTGGCAGAACTTGCTTCAGTGTCTATAGTGGCAAAATACCACGCTCGCTGGAAGCAGGTCAAAATAACCAGATGAATGCAGAAACAGCATGGTTTGGAAAAACTTCGGATTTTTCATCCGTCCAGCAGCTCCGACGAAGATATCGGGTGTGGTCACCATGGCAACTCCATAGCAACAGCATAGCAACTCCATAGCAACAGCATAGCAACTCCATCGCAACAGCATGAAAACAGTGCAGAGAAGCCTTTGGAAAAGCATAAGATGAGACTTTGAGGTAAGATAGAGTAACTACAATAATTCAGTGGCAGAACACATTGTTGCTACATGTACAGTACTGACGTGGTGACGAGTACGGAAGAACAATGAGCCGAAGACTGAGCAAACTAGAATTTACCGGGTATTTGACGGAAAGAAATGACAAACTATTACATGTAGAACATCGTCTGCAAATTTTTGGGACTGCTGAAACTTTAGCAACTCCAGCATGAGAGATTTTGTGCATAGAGTACAGAGTGTGTGCTGGATTCTTGGTATAATATCACCGTCAATGCTTTCCTTGGTCGCTGGAAGCCACCTGCTGATCAGCTGACGATTTGTTCCGAGCAGGCCGTTTTGATGTCAGCTCTCTTGGTCCAGTCGCCGAAGTATATACTGTCCTACTCGTCGCCTGCAGGAGAGGACGACTGCTCCGATGCGACTCCAATAACACCTGGCAATATTTCTTCTTGCGCAGCCATGCGCATGGGCTCCGACGAACAAGGACTATTGCCGGGAGGACGCCTGTCGCGGTTCGCTTCCAATAACACCTCGCATTATTTCTCCTTGCGCAGCAATGCGCAAAGTGTCGGACGAACGAGGACAACTGATTCCGAAAGGAAATACGACGCTGAAGACGATGAGCTACATGGCAAATGCGTGCAACCAAGTGAAATGCCCGAAAAATCCTTGCCGATTTTACTCGAACTGTACGTGAGTTCAAAAAATTGCCGCATCATGACGTATGTGGGCTCAAACGAAAGCTGAGGGCCTCAGCTACATGCTGCGCCGCACGAGAAGGCCCTGCGCAGCTTCCGTGCAGCTACAGATCGATCTATGCATGCGCCTTTCCTTGGTGCCACGCATGTACGCGATTCAGCGTTAGCACTTATTGACAGGTCATGTCACGTGACTGAAGTGCCTACTACTAGTATTACTGCCCAGTCAGTAAGAAATGATGTGCTACTCACCACCACCGCCGCCACCACCAACACTGACCGAGTTGAACTGCATACTCTGACCTTCACTGGACCACCTGTGAGTGAGGAGTGAGGAGAGAGGAGAGAGAGACACACACACACAGAGCGAGAGAGAGAGAGAGAGAGAGAGAGAGAGAGAGAGAGAGAGAGAGAGAGAGAGAGAGAGAGAGAGAGAAAGGGAGCAGAGTGTTCCTTAAAAGGCAGCTCCTGGGCACTAAACACTGTACCAGAACATCGTGCGTTGAGTCCATGCAGTGCAACCTAGAAAATAACTCACCAGCCGCGGAGTTGGTGTGCTTCTGGGATGTCCGGGTTTACGATTAATGCAGAGTTCATCGAAGATGACACTGAGCAGCCTAGGAAGAGACAGAGTAAGGTTGTGAAAAACAACAGCGGGTCAACACATCAGAAAACAACAGCAGGTCAACACATCAGCTCAAACACAGTATGGACCAATGGTGACACACACGCAGTCAAGAAATGCTTGCATGACGTTGGAAACGAACCTGATGAAGATGGATGGTGCACAGGAAACAACAAACAGTGCATGTCCCTAGCACAGCAGCATAGTGAATATACATGTACTTCCCACGCAAGCGACTATACCACCGCAGCATGCTGCTGTGATTGACTAAGTCATACTAGTACATGTATCAAGCATTCAGAACGCTCACCGTTGAAATCTGACTTCTTAGCACCCTTGATGACAATGATGGGATTACCGGTACCATCGAAATCTTCCGCCTACAACACAGACAAAAATCCAGTACAGGAAATATACACACAGTTGAAACTTACCTATCCGGGCCTACTTTTATCCGGCTCCCTAACTGGTCGGCTTTAAATTGGCTGAAGCAGATTTACAGTAACACACACTGCAGTAGAATGCAATATGCTTTCGGTTATCCGGATTCCTCAGATTTTTAGTGAAACCAAATACATGTGCGTGAGGTTAAGCGGTTGAAGTGTACTTCCTCCTCGTCATTAAAATTGTCGCTTCCCGGAGCGATGTTTTCAAATTTATTTTTATCCGCTCAAAGCAAACTAAACAGCTCGAAATCCAGGCAGAGCATAGCACAGGGCATAAATTACATGTTACAAGTGTGAAACGACAGTTCCGTAACTATTCTTCAGCATCTGAAGCGGGAGAGTCGCTGCAACTTTCACCAACATTTCCGCCGAGCAAGCTTTCTTCCAGTTCGTCCACGTACTTTTCCGCGTCCTGAACGATGCTCAGCGGGACCGATGTATCGTGTGCGTCGCCTTCGGAGGACGATCGTCGGTGTGCCGTTCTGCTGCCCGTGTGATGGCTGTAGTTGTTGCCTCCGTCGTCGCTCAAAATCCCTTTGAACGAAGCGTACAAACATCACCAAACACCAGTCATGCGCTCTGCAGGGTACTGTTCCCAGCACGTGATCACTGCGTCTGATAAATCGAAAACATTGTCCTTGGCTGCGAGTTTCGTGTCACTTTGCAGGCTGGCGAAAAATGCCATTCAGATCGGGTGACTGGGCTGGCTGCGTTATCACACGGATATCAAAGCCCTTCTTGGCACCATGTGTAGCCCAGTGCTTTTGGTTGGCTTTTGCAGTGTGAGGTCTCGCACCATCATGTTGATACCAGAGTGTCGTGCCTGCTTCCTTCTCGCCGGAGTTCCTTTTGAACCACGACATTTTCTCTCGCATGCTGTCGAACACACCGTCTTTCCTGAGCATCACCTTGCGATATTCTTCAGCTGTGACAGTCACAAGTTCAAGAACATCAGTCTCTCCAGCCACCGTCCCAGTCCTTGCGTTGCTTTGTTTCGCCTTTCGAGTGATGGTGAAAGGCCAAATGCCAATTTTACCATCAAACTCATGGTCAGGACGCGGCTTCGCCGTGACTGCCAGGAACATGATTCTGGGCATTCTGGACTTGTGGTAGATCTTCGGATCTGCGGGCATTGTTACGACTCGCTCAACCTCGCCGTTGGTCTCTGTGAAGCGAGGGAAAACACGTGCCACGGTACCGTCACGCATTAGATAGAACCACTTCTCATCACCGTGGCAAGTGTTCTCATTGTTGCCAAACATTCCTGTGTCCTTGTCGTACTTGTCAATTACCCAGCGGATCCTGTTGCATCGATGTTGAGCTGTCAGCTTCGGCTTCACATATCTGCGGCGGCGAGTCGCTCCCAGCGCTTTGCACCACCTACGCACTGATGCGGTGCTGCACTCATGGCCAGCTGCGATGAGTTTGCCGCTGAGTTTCTTTGTTGACAACTTGCCCCAGTACTTGTCGTTGGTCTCGATGAGAAATTTCGCTACGTCGACTGTGAGCTTGAGTTTGTGGCCTGCCACTTCACTGCGCTTGCGGCTGAGGTTGACATCTTCGTCAGAGTTTGAGGCCGACTCAGTCTGTTCACGATAGCTCTTGACAAGACGCTGAACAAGGCGCGGGTTCAAATTCAGCTCAGGAAACTTCTTTCTCAAGCGATCCATGCCTCCAGGTGGCAGGCGATTACGGCCACCTAGCATTTTGAAATACGCCGTAGCGACTTTCCAGCGAGATGGGGTAAGCAAGTCCCCACCTTCTTTCCTCGTCAAGCGCTTTACAGATTTTGTGGGTGTTTGCAGGCCTGCTGCCTTCGCAGCAACACGCGCCACACGTGGCAGTTTTCTTGGAGTTTGTGGATGCTTTGTTCTTGCCATCGTCACCTTCAGCAGTTTGAAATTCAGGAGAGACACCAGGATTCTTATACCCAAGCTTGAAGTCACGACATATGCCCACGCGAACGATGTGGATCGGCATGAACCGCAGAATATGATTCGGCGTTCTGGGGCGGAATCGTGCGGAAATGGATGCATTTATTTGTTGTGAACGGAAGCTCCGGCATTGCCACGGCTCGTATAACTAGTAGACATTGCGTAGGAAGAGTCGGACCAACGTCGGAACATGGAAAAAGGTGATTCCGACAGCGACAAAGCGAAGTAAGTCACGAAAAGTTACGATTCGGGAAGCGACAATTTTAATGACGCGGAGGAAGTACTTATCAAAGAACCAGATAAGGAGCGTATAGCATTTCCAGATGATCACCACCTCTAATCAAAATCATAAGGTCACACAGGAAAGGGAGACAGCAATGGGTTTTATTTTCAGCTGACCTCATTCTGCCATAGCGTGCAGCGCATAGACACACCCGTGTCATCAGCTATCGTCAGGTCACGCTTCGTGATCTGCTGGCCGGACGACTTGGCTGTCACTGAGCTCAACTCCTCGGTGGAGATTACAACACCAAGGATATCTGGAATCACAAGATAACAATACAGATTGGGCTCTTTCCGGAACAACCCGTGCAAACAATCATCAGCAGTAACACTAGATTGCAATAAAGCACACTGACAATAGATCGAGAAACAAACACGATGAGGAGGAGCTGAATCGACACGTGTTAATTGGTACTTAGGTGTTGCAGCACCAACAGGCGGAAACAGCGTTCAACAATAGAACAGGTGAAGGAGAAAATATTGAAAAAGAACAACATCTTAAAAAGGTTTGACCGTGATGTATAATTTAAAGTACCGGTACATATATGTCGACTCAGCTTGTCCTCCTCATTGCGATTTTGAAAGTGTCTCATCGCCACTTATTCAAACAAATATGACGCCATCTTACCGCACAAGGAATTGTTGTTCAGACCACTCAGATTGGAGAGCTTCATAAAGTTGTACTTCTGTCGGGGCATGTCAGATCCATCCTGACACTATAGCGATAAAAAAGATCATGAACATACACAGAAAAATGAGCTATCAATACTGGCACCCGAGATGACTCCACCGACGCTATTTACAGTTTCACTGGTGAAGGCTACAAAACTAAGATACCCAGACAGCAAGATCTTGTCTTTGGCTATGAGGAGCCAGGGGCAGATAAATGTAGTCGTGAAAGAGCCACTGGTGTTGGTTGATTGGGGCGGGGATTTTATCTTGTGAACATGGAGAACTATTATTCGACTAACCAGCTCGATGTTTGTGTCTTGATTCAGGTACATTTCATACTCGTTCTTGATGGACGTGAACTCCTTGCGGGCAGGCTTCAGAGAGCCCTTGGACACGTAGTACATCTGTACAAAGACACCAACCAGATGGACATATTGCGCCAGCCCTAGGACACTCGCAAACAAACCTACACTGCTTGAAGCATATGATTCATAGCATGCTTTTCTGCTTTTCCAAGCAAGTTCCAATCTGTATCATAAGCCATGCAGGCTAAATGCAAATCATGTCAATACAATCATATAGCATATAGCATAGAGCAGAGAGGCCACTCTAGTACACACTTGCCTTATCCACTTCCAGGAGGTCGTAGAACTTGTCGACAGCCTGATTGAAGGCAGTGGCACGGATTTCACCCTGCAACGAGGACAAAACAAAACACAGCAGCAATCAAACATGGTGCTTGTGCAGGAGAGACGGGGGCGGGCGTCCACTCTACAACATGACAGCTATCCAATCAAAAGAAAATGGAAGAAAAGAGAATTTGCGATTGAGAAGTGTTTCCTGCATATAGCATGAACATCAAGACTCAGGAGACAATACCGGTATAGGAGGAGTGGAGGTCTGGATATAAAGATCAGGCTACATGAGGTGCATCGCTTACTTTTCTCAAGAGACAAACTTGCGTAATTCCAACCGCACTGAGCCTTCATACCGTTCCGTACATATTCATACTTCATACACATGTATTGTACATGACAGGAAAATCCACTCACAGAATCGTCCAAGAAGTCACAGCTGAACACGCGGCCATCACCACGCGCATTAGACCATGTCTTGATCTTCGTTTTCTGCGTGAGACGTACGCGAATAGTCCACCTGCAAACAAAAGCACAAAAGAAACAGATGTCAAATCAACAGTCGCCTAACTGAAGACTGTACACAGTACCAAAAACTTTAACAAAATATATAAATATAAATAAAAACTCAGGATCAATGCTATCCGCGCTTAGGCCCAGGCCACGCGTATTTCAGCACGAAAATGACTTCCCATAGCTATGGCAACTGAAACATGGCAACCAGGAATCGTGCGAAGTGTGCCCGCAGGCCTTTGTTCCACGCCTTGGTGCGCTGGCAGCATGCGTTATCGTTTCCTTGATTTTCAACACAAAGATACAAAGATACTGTATCATACGTCAGCAATACGGTGCGCCACGGTGCCGCATGACGTGTTCCATTATGCAGGGTTATAGACAGAACAAAACTGAATGGGGGGGGGGGGGGGGGGGGGGGGGGATCATCGGACCCAACATTGTGATTTTACCGCCATTTTGGCTGCTACTTTCACCAACACCAGTAAGCAACCGACCAACTATTGCACTTTCGTTCCATGTATTATTCACCGGTCAGTGGAACCCGCCATTGATATGGTATTTAGAGGTAAGTGATGAATATGATGCAATAACCCATGCAATGCTGTGCTCCTACATGGATAGGATGTGTCCTCATCATGCATATACATGTCAAAAGGTGACTCTCGTACTCTGAAGGGCGGTCAAAAAGTGAAGGAGGGCACAGCACCCCGCCATGTCGTTTTGGCGAGAACCTTGTTATGTGGTGTGCCCGATGTTGCCTGGCCATGCCACGGGAACGCAGTGCGACCTTAGAAAACAGCCTTATAAAACAGCAAAAGTTGAACCAACATGGTGTGTCTCATCAAAGAAACGACACCCTGCTGTAAAAACGTACCGAGCACACACATGGCGGCACAAGAGAATACAATGACAGTACCTGTTCTGGTAAGGTGTTAGACTGACAATGGGGAAAACACGCATGTCTCCCTGGGTTGCTCTCTGGGCTGGCTGTTGGCTAGAAAACAAATCCACAATGAAAAAAAGATAGAACAGAAAGAGAACACGATTGCCGATTTTGCTACTTTGAAATCTTTGGCAAACAACACACCTCTTTACATCTGGGAGGGTCAAGACCAAATGCTAACTTCAACATGCAATTGCAACGTTAGAAAAATAGTTTCAGTCATTCTCCATCTCCCAATCTTAACCCCTCTCTCGTGACAACACTATGCTTCCCGAATTTCCGGTCAAAATGAACAGAAAACTTCCGAAGTAACATTAACCCCTTTAGCGCGAGCGTCGTACTAGTACGACGCACATGAGTTGCATGCCCCACGACCGTCGTACTAGTACGACGCGCGCTGTACACTGTACAGTGAACCTGCATCTCATAGTCGTGGGGTCCGTGTTGAGTCCATAGTGACTTGCTCAAACTATCGTAACTCACTCAATACTTGGTCGATTCTCACAATCGAAACATGTACCTGGAAGGGTAAACTCTCAGCTGGCGATAGAAACAATCGCCGAAGCGATACGACTACCGGTTGTTGAGATATGCGACTCGACACGGCAAATTTCAACTCGATTTTTTGGCGCAGTCTGCAGAACGCGTATTTTCCATCATGGATTATTTGTGCGCTGCCGGCTGCCATGGAAACAAGATTCAAATGATGGTAGTCGATCCCGTGAATCCTCACAAAAAATTTGAGCTCGATACGAGCAAGGAGACCGAAATGGCAGCTGAATATTTGAGCTCGGTTAGTCTTGGCCGTGCTCAAGTCTGTCGAGCGCGTGGATGAAGTTTGCCAGACTGTAGCACGGGGTTTTGGTTTCGCTCCGAGCTGGGTTTGACACCAGTTTGTCCCTCGTCTCAAGACCTTTCCAGGAAGCTCAAGATCATGGAATTCGTCCAAGGGAAGGTAAAGTTATCGATCCTTGAGCAGCTAGTACTTTCATGGGAAAATGCGACTTTTACAGGTGTTGACGTGGGGCGCGTTCAGGTAGCGTCGTGCTAAAGAGGTTAAAGAAAGCGAAAGCTTCCCGTATAACTCACTCAAACTGACAAAAGTAAAGTAAATGTCCATTTGCGTCCCCGTTCCCAAGGGAACTCACGATGGCCACCAACACCCGAAAAATCCAACTGATAACAGTTTCTCAAACATATGTTGGCACATACATGTACATGTCTCCCCAGAAAACCACAGTCTGACTGGGCATCAGATTGCTGTAAGGGATCAATTGAGGGCCATGCAAGGCCGCTTTCCAATGAAACTTCCAAGAAGAAGAAAAAGCTGATAGTGCAATTCAGAAGAATGCAGAGAGTCCCAATGGCCGACTTACTGACTGTACGGTGCGGGTGCACCATTGCCGATAGGCGCCGCACGAACACCGCCTACACCTGCGCCTGCACAGAACAAGAACATACACAGTAGTAGCCGCAACAAGGTCATCAGTCGTGTTCTAGTCTACACCTGCATACACAATGCTCTATAAGGTGGCGAGTGGTAGCATTCGACCTCCATGGAGGAAAGGAGTAGAGGAATATTGAACCTGTAAACAAAGCTGTGGTGTGTTCCTAAACACGTCAGGTGACGCGGCCGCGGATCCGGCGAACTTTTTTAAATTTTTTATACAAAGCTGAACTTCTGCCAGTCTGACTCACCATTGGACGGGGCACCGACTGAGCCCTGGGGTGCTGCCGGCATGGCACTAGCGGTGCCATTTCCTGTTGATGATGACGAAGCGTGGGGGTTGACGGGATTGCCCATGCGACCACCGACCTCACTCCCGGGCTTCACAACACGCATCTTGACCAGAATCAACAGCCTGCGAGGCAAGAGAATAACAAAAAAACAAAAAAATTCTACGGGTTCGTGTACCGGGCAGGTCAAGAACAAAGAGAATAACAGATAATAGATATTAGATATTGTGACAGGAATACTCCAGCAGACTGTATACATAAACTGCCATACATTACACATGTACCTGCTAGTGACAGGCAGAACATAGAAGTACTAGTACACTGTATCTTACCGTTTTCCTTTGATTGCGTTGTTCAGATACTGTTCAGCGCAGATAACAGAATTTAGCAATTCGTCTGAAGCTGCAATATTGGCTCCCAACATGGCTGCATTGTAACAAAAATAAGAGAATAACAATGCACTGATAATTGCTCTACAACAAGCAGCAGGTATTGGTAACACAAACACACACATACACACACACACACACACACACACACACACACAACTTCTGTATCTTCCACACCTTCAACACACCTTCACACGGCATGGCTTAGAACGACAGGAAACAATGAACAGCATACTTGGAAGTAGTCACTAGACATACCTGGCATTGTAACCTTCCCATCTGAAATCATTACTCTGCAATACGCATACATAACAAAAACACAGACACAATACCAAATTGGATATCAGTTTGATCTTGTTCTAATAAAAGGCCGATTTGGGTTTTTGCACTTGTCATTATGGTTCATCTGAAGTCGGTAACCGTGACGGGCGCGTAATTTTGATTTCTACCAGACACAGCTACAAAGTCCTTAGCCGGGACATGTAACGCCTGAGTATTATCCCACTGCTGCTCCAGATGCAGGTCAGGTTCGGATACTAGTACAGTTAACCCTTTGTGTACCAGCCCCATCTCGAACCGTAACGTACGTTACGGTTCGACGCACCGCACTGCGCCGCGCCGTTCGGCGGCGTCCTTGTTCCGATCGACTCGCGGTTTTTTGTGCTGGGCAGCTGAGATCCCACTGCAAATTTTGATGTATGATGTGGGTAGGTTGCCATTTGAAAGTATGGAGAACGATCCCGGCGAAAAGTGCGCTTTGCAATTTCAGCGCTCTGCGATATATTTTAGCAATTTCGATCGTGTTTTCGTTCGGTTACGCTGCTTGTATCTGGAATATAGCTTGCTCTAGCTGTTGCCGATGTCTACTAGTGATGGTGAACGCCAGGAGAGAGTTGTAGTGGCGATATAATCTCAGGATCTGAATCGAAAGTGAGAATTTCCATCGCTGAAGCCATTGCAGTATTCGCTCTCCAAGTAGCAGCGAGAGGGAGCGCAGCGATGGCCTGAAATAATCAAGGCAGGTGAATTTCCTCACCCATCGACTATTCCTGGTCTTCTCAATCGCCAATACCCTCGCTGGACGCAAGTAGATAAGTGAAAAGTACATATTCAAATCTGACACAATTTCAATAATTTGAAATTTTGATGCAATTGTTTGGCATCTGGTATTCACGCAATATGGCTCTTTTCCGTCCATTTCGCTATTGTTGAAGCATGCAACTGGCGGCTATACACTAGTGCAGTGGTCTCCTGTTGCTCTGTGTGAAGAAGGGCAATGTCAGCAAGTATATTCACGATTCCAAGTACACGGATCTAAATTGTCAGGAATATGGACAATTGACTCAGAAATAGGTATTCCAGGTATGGCCTGTATCTGTAGTTGTGTGCTCGGTCAAAATATTTTCTTACCTGGACACATTGATACCAACAGATTCAGAAAAACATAACTTGCACATACAAAATGTGTCTTAGTTTTATGCTATAGGTCCATCATTACCGATGAGTACCCCGCGCATACATTAGATGCCTGGTACACAAAGGGTTAAATCTGGATGATTCCAGCAGCTGGAGTCCAGGCATTTGAGGTTTCACCGCATTCCGATTGTCTTGCATTTTACAACTTGTAGTTTCTAGTGTAGTTTCTAGTGCCTTGAGCATTTCCCAAGACAGTAAATTATGTAGGCAAAGTTTAAGTGCCTGGATACTGAATTGGCCCATGCTGACTGACATACAAGAGAAAACAAACCATAAAAGAGCACAACTGGGTCATTTGAAGTATGCGTGTGCGTGTGTTGCTCTAAATGATCACTAAGTACTAAAGCCAGCTTTACACTACGTACAAATCCACATCAACTTGGATGGTGAGCCAATTAAGTTACCGTAAAAGCCCGTGTATAGGCCCCCGGGCGTATAGAATAGCAGCCTCGATTTCCTGGGCGTATACAAGGGCACGGGCGTTATTTTGAAACCGGGCGTATACTTGGAATAGGGATAGCAGTAAGTATTGGGTGTCAGTACCTGTACATGTACTGGTGTTTCCGGCATACCTGGGCGTATACATGGGCATGGGCGCTATTTTGAAACAAAAGTGCCGTCTTCCCCTGACTGGGCGTGTACACGGAGGGTGGACGTTATTTCGAGTGGGCGTATACAGGGGCTTTTACGGTATGGTGAAAAAAGGAGAAGGACAACATGTTAGTCATAACTTGTAACATTTTGTCCTTCTCCTTTTTCACCATAAATCCACGTCAATGTGATGTTTCCGTACAGATCCGCATAAAACGACGTACATCAGGACAGAAACGGCAACTGCGAGTACGATAGAAAACACAATCTCAGCACCCATATAGACGGCACGTTTACGTTTTTTGGCTGGGGAGTATGCTTACTACGGCAAACGTGTCGAGAATGCACCTGCGCTCACGAAAACGGCGCTGACCGCAATGCAGCGTGAAAAGGAGGAACGTAAACGTCCCGTTTTCTCTGGCGGCGTTTATCGAGTACGTAGTGTGAAGCCAGCCTAAGTGGTGGATCAGGTATTTAAAATTGAAAATCATCCTGTCTCCAATAGCCTTCAGGCTTCTACAAGTGTACAGTCAATGCAATGAAGACAGAACTGCTGTTTTCAAATACATGTACTGTTAAAGAAACAAGCAGCACCTCATACCTGAAACGATCCTGGTTGGTAGATGTTGTTATCCTCTTGACGTTCTAAAGCAAAGAATATTAATGTAGTGAAAGAAAAACTACTGTGCCAGCTATCTGTGTACACGTTCAGTACTTTTAAGCCCAATTGAGTAAATATTTGTTGAGGACCCACAAGGTAGCAACAACTACTTACCACGATCTGGAACACTGCATTTGGATAATCTTGCGGTAGAGCACCGTCAACAAGAGCCTAGAGGATCACGTCATGACAAAGCAATTCTCCGTTACCACACCGTACTCAACAAACAGTAGAGAGACTTTAGATAAATCCAGACCTGAACGGCCCCTTCTGTTAGAGACATCTTCAAGGCGTGGAAGTGAACTGAAGAGCAACCGACCCTATCCCGCTATGACCTCAAGCTCTCTCCACTACCAACCACGGAGCAACTTTGCAGATACTTGCAGTTCACAGGTGGGTCCGGGTAGAGTGTAAAATAACAAAATCAGTGTTCAAGCTTGAAGAAAGTCTCGTTTCGAATGTCTTCTTTTGCTTGTTTGGTTGAGGTTCGAAACGACGTTCCTCATCTCAGCTCATGTCTTTGCCAGTCTGACTCTTTCATACAAAATTTGGCGGGAACTGGTTTCCACGCATGCATGCTCTCCGCACACTCGTGACGTGCTCAAAATCTGGGTTTGCAGAAGAGCGTAGATCTATGACTCTGACCATGATGACCATGATGACTCAGCCGCTACTATTGCAGCCTAGGCGCTAGTACTCGTACATGACGATTGTAGTACAGTAGAATCTACCTGAGTGAGTACGAGCGTCTGGAGCTAGCTACAAGTACGAGCATGGTATATACAGAAGCCTTGCTTGGTAGTTAACATGTTTCTACGCGTCCTCGCCTTGTAACATGCTGTCAAAATCGAAAGTACGAGCATGTGCGGAGCTAGCCTACATTTGTAGCCCAGCGCCAACATGTCGACAGTCAACTGGCAACTGGTCTTGTTATGTCTTGACTTGTCTCATAGACATACCGTAACTAGTATCACTAGCGAGGTTCTGCTCTACGTTTTGGGAACGCGACGCAAAGAATCACGCGAACTTTCTTCGCGTTCCCGTAACGTAAAGAAATGCTGTTCTGCTCTACGTTTCACCTAGAGAAGTCACGTGGAATGTGTACTGGGAATTTCCCCTTCCATATTTGGCAGTTTTCTGCATGCAGTTGATCGATACCCAGCAAATCCGTACGCATTTTCTCTGCGTGTGCCACAACGTAGAGAATCCCATCTCCGCGTAGAAATCTGGAGCCAAAACACGCGAAGCCGTAGACTCTAACCCAGACACCTGCTCTCTACGTGATTTCTCTACGTTTCACGTATAGCAGAACCTCCCTACTATCTCTAAATAATTAGCACGGTCCTTTATTTTTTCAATGTACCTCCGCCCCGCGGCCCGTGCTTATATTACTTATTAGTATTATCAAGATCAAGAGTACATAACCCATGGTTATGTACTCTTGGTATTATTGGAGACGTTCCTTTATTGGAGACTGTTCCATTATTTTCAACCTCATTTCAGAGGCTTGTTGCCATGCCAAATTCATGTCAGACACACACATTTCAGGGTTTTTTCGCCGGTACAGATAATGAATTATTTACACAGTGTGCTTATAATGGAGACTGAGCACTTTATTTTTTGAATGCCGCCCAAGGTGTTCTGGAGACGTGCTATTATTGGAGACTGTGCTTATATTAGAGATAATACGGTAGGAGGATCTGTGTTTTCCGCGATCCGGACCATGTAGATCTATCTACCAGTACCAAGCGGAATCCTCAGTGAGCGGATAAAATTAATTACATGCACCAGAGCAGAGATTGAGAGAGTAGAGCATGGTATCAAGAGTACATAGTCATAGGGGTTTATCTGGTTATGAACTCTTGATGGTATGCTAGCATGCTGTGTATCGAACGTGCATCCCTGGATCAATACAAGCGGAATCTTGTCACATCAGGACAGTTTCCGCTGCACCGTCCAAGGGCGCACGGTTGGGGCAGGTTTACTGGTCTGCAATTGTCAGCCAAACAATATAAAGCCAATGCACTGCTGCTGTCTGGTCAGTTGATCGATGCTGTGCTAAAAAATCTGACTAGCTATTGCAGACCACAATGTGGACCGCAACATGGCATGCTATGTATTGTAGGTGCGCCGTCATCGCTGTTGTGACACCCTCGTCCCCAACCCCATCCCGAGCTCCCAACTTAATTAGGGCTGAGTCGTCGGGTAGCATTTTCTTCGGGTATCGGCTCCGGGTAGTTTTCCACGGGTAGCACGGGTACCCGATCGGGTAATGTTCCCATGGTAAGACCACAATGCACACCAGCCCCTTCCCTTGCGCATTGGGTAGACATGCGTGTGCACTGTGTCTCTCTCTACTCTCAGTTCTACATGTCATCTGCGACTTCGGGTTTTCGGGTACGATTCGGTACCCGTCTACCCCAGGTCCTCACGGGTAGCACGGGTACCCGACTACCCGTGCACACCACTATTCTTAATCTTATGATAGTGAGTCCGACACCATGGACACTTGAAAAAATCAAAATCACCCCATGAAATGAGCGATGAGTGCAGTACACATGTACTGTAAAACTGGGAATTTTCCGTAGTGTAATATTCTCGGTATTTCCCAAAATCAATAGTGTGGGGAGCAAACCCTTTCCTAACAAATGATCGCCGAAGTCGCAACCACTTGTTCAATGGTTCAGTAGCGCGAAAAGTTCGGTAAACCAATTATCCAGATCCGAACATTTTTGCACATTGTGTGACACAGCATGGTTGAAATTTAGGTTGCGTTTTATTTTAGGTAAAAATCACCTGTACCGAAATTAGGGAGGTTTAGTTCCCACGTAACGGAAACGCGTACGTGGGTGATCCACGTAAAGTGGATGAAGGGCACCCACGTTGCAATGTTGTGTTTAGTCACACGAAACAACATGACGCGAAAGGCCCAAACCTGGTCAAAGACGAAGCTACCCGGGCCTAAGAAGCTCATCCAATATTTTGATTTCGTGCTTCGGAAACTTCTTCAGCTGAGCACCCTCACAGCTCGCACAATGCGCTCCAATCTGATTTTCACCCACGTTCTGGCGGAACGTGGGTGAGCCTCCATACACGGTATGCCGTGAATCAGAAAACGTCTGTACGTGGGTCACTGAGTATCACGTGGTACACACACGTAAAGTACCCACGGATTACGTGGGACTAAACCTCCCTAATAACACATGGGAACGACTTATGAAGCAGCTATCCACGACCGTAACAAGATAATATCGTTCCCCCAACGGGCCCAAGAGTGTGCAATTTCAGCTATGGGGTCTGCGACGGCAGAACTTCACATCACATGATGAACCCGTACACATTATTTGCACCCTGTGCATGATAAATACAGGGTTGTGCGCAACCCAGCTTGGGGTTCAACTCTCTTGTGGTCACTTTGCATTGTTTGCCAGCGTAACCTTTTGAACCATGTCACGTGATGTGAAGCTTTGTTAAATACACTTGTGGAAGTACAAAGAGAGCGACTGGAGCAGGCATTCAGTTGCGACAACTATGACAAGCTGAAAAATGAACATGAGGCAGTTGTGGAACATGCAGGTTAGCGGACGAGTATCCTCACGAAATAGCGCTAGCACAGCAACAATAAAATGTACAGGCCTACCCGCGAGAAACCAACGCAATCATGGAGAAAACACACAACTGGGCAGATACAAGCTGTCGCTAAGAATGAACTTTTGCCAATTTCGTTCAGCGAAAGGAGCGAAAGAAAGCAGGTTAATAAATCACGGCTGAGCAGGATTACTATCTTGCGCACTCATCATCCCTGTTGTGAAATTAATGAAAATAAGTGTCAGTCAAGTGTCAAGTCAAGTCGGCGGAAAAGCGTGAGCTCCAGTGTCGGCAAAACACTTTCCTAACAAGCCATCTCCGAAGTCACTACTGTAGCGGGCCGCAGTCTCTCGGAAGTCCGAAGGAGAATGCCACCGCCAGAAGTAGTCCGCAGAGGCCGATCACTGCCGGTCTCCACACCACCAGGTGTGCATACCCCACGAACACCCGGTCGGCGAAATCGCGCAGCCGTTGGCGCGGGTCACGCATCCTGAAGGACGGTCGGCAGGTAGAGTCTTCTTACTGCGGCAATGCTATGCTATGTGCGCCACCAATTTTGTAGCGCCATTGCTACCAATGTAAAACAGGTGGGGTCGAATCTGACAAAGTTAATTGAACCACCGCTGCCACCAATTTTGTAGCGGGCCGCAGTCTCTCGGAGGCAAAAATACACAAGGGTCTCAATGAACACACTGTTATTTATTAAACACTGAACTGAACTGAAATGAAGGTAAACTAACTGGCAACGAAAAGAATCGTGAGCAGCAGCTTTTATACACAGGCAGACTCCTTACACTAACGTATGAGGATACGCTAACGTACGGGAATACGCTAACGTACGGGGATAAGCTAAAAATATACGCTATACGCTGTGAAAGTCACCAGCGTGCCAACGCTACACTACCACTAATTCGTAAGAAAGTAGACGTCCAACAAAAGGTATAATGTTACTGACAAAGGTTGGTGCTTCCACAGTTTGCAAGTAATTCCAGTTAAGGGTGCTTGTCAGATATGACCCAAGATCATGTATAATCGATCAAGAAACAGCATCACTTTACCAGAGCTTGATAGATGGTCGCAGAAATGGCACACATGTGTAGAACAGGATATGCAGTGTCGAATTCTGCACAAAACAAAGTCGCGGAAGAGATCGGGGAGCAACAACCATGGTATGTTCAGGTGAATGGAAGAAAGCAGACAGTGCTCAGGTAACCAAAGAAAAGCCTAATGCCAGCACACGATCAAGGCTTATAAACATGCTTCCCCCACACACAGTACATACCATTATTATAAGTTTATGTGCGTCAACCTGGGTTTGAGTCGGTACCCAAGCCGTACCAAAAATTATGAAAATTTGCCTCTTTCCAGACAATTGAGGTGTCGGCAAATACAGCATGAATTTATCAAAGAGGACACTACTGGTGCTGAAGCCATTGTCATCAAAGCAAATACACACATCACGTTACGTTACGAAATTGCCTGATCATCCAAAAAAGCCAATGAAAGTTGAAACTGAGCATCAACAATGTTTGACACATTGGGAGAAAAGATAGATTCACAGTGGCTTACATGCATCATCTGACCAGCACATATGTCCTTGACAATGGAGTCATCATAATTATGAACCCCAGTCACTGTCAAACACGCTCAGACTAACGTGCCTATACTATAGTATATAGAGCAGGAAAGAAGCAGACATGCACCAATGCAAAGAGAAGAGGATGTAAGAAATACACCATGGTCCAGCCTTCAAGTTCAAAGAAAACACAGCAGCACTGGGAATCTAGCAAACAGCCGGCTGCACATGCACAAACCCATCCACACTCACACAATACTTACAGTGGCCATGGCTCATTGTTCTGCAATAATTCTACAGAAAACAAGATATCCACAGCAGCAGCAGCAGCAGCAGCAGCAGCAGCATCAACAGCATTGCCAAAGACACAACCCAAAGATCAGACAGAGCAAAGTGTTACACACACAAAATTAATGACGAACCAGAAGAAGAAGAAGAAGAAGAAGAAGAAGAAGAAGAAGAAGAAGAAGAAGAAGAAGAAGAAGAACTCAAAGCACGAGCAACATAGATAGACAAAACTGGTAACAACAAGAGTACATACTAGTAAACCAGAGTGTGCAGGTCTGCATCTATGCTGCAAAAACCGATCACACGGCGAAGTTTTTTGTTTAGGTCATCATGAGTCATTGAAAACCGGTCATACCGTTGGTGCTAAAAGGCGATATTGGAGAAATTCGCTTGCATTTGTTCACCTTTTGTACAACAAACAGCAGTGCACAACAGAAATTACCTTGGTGACGGTAAAATGACCATGTGAACCGTGCAAGATGCAGCAAAGGTGAGTCGCTATGACCTAAGCAAAAACACTTTGCCATGGGACGATTCTCCCAGAGCTGCACACTCTGGTTTATGTACTCACAGCAAGAGTAGATAAACAAGAGTGTCCCTACATCCCCTGTGTCTTGTCTTGTGTTTGTCTCCACATGTCTCTTTGTAGGGCTGTGTTCCCAATATTAAAATTAAAAAAAAAAGAAAAAGTGTGCAGCTCCGGGATGGGTTGGCCCGCGGCGGAATTTTTTGTTGACGTAATCTTTTCGATGATGCACGCGCTGCGAGTTTTTTGGAAAGTTTTGCCTCGTGCACTTGGCCGGGCTTTACATGACAAAGTCGGTGCCCAACACGTGCTCTCACACTGCTCTGGGGCAAAATGCGCGTTCTTCTGAAAAAAGGTGACGCTAACAAAAATTCCGCCGCGGGCCGGGGTATCTGCAGATTGTGCAGAAGAGATCTGGAGTTGCACACTCTTGTTTATCTATTCTTGGTAACAGTTGGATTGGGGTCTACAGCTATACAGGAATTCTGTACAATATAATATAAAAGGATGAACAGGACAAGTAGATTGGAACGAAGAAAAAAATAAATGGCCGTCCCCGGGTGGGCTTGAACCACCAACCTTTCGGTTAACAGCCGAACGCGCTAACCGATTGCGCCACGGAGACTGGACATACCAAACACGGGCATCTATACCGCTACTATGGTCATAGTCCATTCATTGGAAACTGGTATCATAACTTGCCCGTTTCGTTCGTTTTCGAAATTCGCGCTCCGAGCTAGCTCTTCATACGATAATCTCCATTGAACATTTCATTCACACCACATCTCAGAAACGTCTCTTTGTGTAAGAAATCATTAGGGAGGTTTCGCTCTACGGAATTACGTACTTCGAGTATGAAAATAACATAGGAACTGCGCATAATTTTCATACGTAAAAAAACAGAGCTGTTGGGTTTCGCTCCACATGATTTCTCCGCGACTGCTAAACATGCCTTGTTCAAGTTGTTGCTTTGGAGACGCGTTGGCTGCATGCGCCCACCGCATGCAGCCCGAAACCGCATTTTCCAAGTGGTGTGTATACATATACCTTGTGTTTCGCGCGGCTCGAACGCTGCCATGGCCAGGAAAATGCGAAAAATATTTCAAAAAGTCTTACGGAGGACCCAACGTAGGGAAGAGCGTTCGTACGGAAATCCGTAGAGAGATTTACGTATGAAACTTGCCCTCGCTCCCCGGCGAGTACGACATACGGATTTTCATAATTACGTAGAGCGAAACTTCCTTATTTAGCGCTACTTTCCTTCATGGTAAATGCAGTGTGAAACATGGTACTTCATTTGTACAACCGTGTAGTTTTTCTCTTTTTTTCAGGCTCAACGTTTCTTTCTTGACTTTTCAAGCTTAAAATTTGGTAAAAAATTCACCGTGTAAAGAGTGGTTTTCACTATTTTAGCATTCAGTACACTATTTTCCCCTTTCAACACCCTCAACTGATGAATATCTGACACATTGGGGCTCCCCAATTGTGCTCTGCTGACCCCGTCCCACCCACCCACCCTGTTCCCGCTTGCACTGTGCTCCGCTCATCCACTTTCCCGTTCAACCTTTCCCTGCCACCAGTCCCCGCATATTGTTTAGTATGTACTCATCCCCGTTCTCTCCCTAGTCTTTCTACTAAGTTTCTAGTCAAGTTTCTGTCTTGCTCTGAAGTGACGGACCTCACGTCCCCTTTACTCTTGTCCTGCAATCTGGATAGCTGACTGTTGGGTTGTGTTTTTCTTTCTTTCTCTCGTCTAGTTCTCCTCTCTGGTCTTTGACCCTCAGACCTTTCCTGTGCCCATGTAAGGCTGCCAGATACTAGAATACAGTACCACTGTTAAGTTCTTGTGGCCTTCTGGTTATTGGTGTACGCATGGGATAATTCCGTATACGCATACAAGTCCTGAACTGACGAACCTGAATCGACCACATTGGCGCCCAACAATTGGTTCACCGAACCCATGATCCTCTGCCAACCCTGACTAGCCTGATTAAAATGCCCAAACCGGTCATATCTACTTGAACGACATTGACACGATCTTTTCAAAGTAGACTTGAAAAGTAAGATGGCGCAATCACGTTTGCACAGTGATTTGCCTAGGATCGTGTAGATTCTAGTCGAATCACTGCAGTAGGAGAGTACCAAAATGCACGAAAGAGGAGCTGAAAGGGCACATTTCTGCTGAACAACAAACTTGCCACTCACTCATCACTGGAGGCATGGCACTGCCAAAGAGCTGGCGGAAATCCTTGTCTTGTTGTTAAAGGGGAAGTTAAGGCAAAAAATAAAATTTCACCAGTTGTAGTCTTCGGGGTGCTGAGTCGAATGGTCATGGTCCGAGGAAGCTGAGACGCTCCCTTCCTACTTGAATCCCAATCGAACTCGCGCACTTCCACCGAAACTGGGTGACTGCGCCCTACTAGATGGGGATTTGTATGCAAAATGTCACTAAAAGCGCCATTTCGTTCTTATAAAAGCACGAATGACCGCGATTGGCCCATCTGTTGTAGTCTTTTGGACGCTGAGTCGACTGGTTTTGGTCCGAAAAGGCTGCGATGCAGCGTTCCCCCTTTATTCCCAATCGAACATGGTTGAACAAGCGGTCACGTGCTCCTGCGTACGCCAGTCACCTGGTCACCGTGCCTGCAGGGTACAACTTACTAGCCTGTTTGACCTTTTTTGGGTGCAGTCCTGTCACTCGAGTTGAACTCGAGTTGAACCTTGGTGTGAAAGTTGTCGCCTGCTGGCATGGTGACCAGGTGATTTGGGCACCCAGGAGCACGTGACCGCTTGTTCAACCATGTTCGATTGGGAATAAAGGAGGAACGCTGCATCGCAGCCTTTTCGGACCAAAACCAGTCGACTCAGCGTCCAAAAGACTACAACATATGGGCCAATCGCGGTCATCCGTGCTTTTATAAGAACGAAATGGCGCTTTTAGTGACATTTTGCATACAAATCCCTATCTAGTAGGGCGCAGTCACCCAGTTTCGGTGGAAGTGCGCGAGTTCGATTGGGATTCAAGTAGGAAGGGAGCGTCTCAGCTTTCTCGGACCAAAACCATTCGACTCAGCACCCCGAAGACTACAACTGGTGAAATTTTAATTTTTGCTTTAACTTCCCCTTTAACGTAAGAGAATGCTGGTTGATTTTATCGCCACATTCAGCCTGTTCAAGTCCCTGCACTTTTCTCTGGCAATCACATCAAGCCTTTGGGGCAGGAGGCGGCTTGGATGGGGAACTCACTGGCAAGGTACTTGAGACGATGTGCGGTGATCCAGTGGTGAAATGTCTGGATGTGTATGCGTCCAGTGCATACTCTGGCATTGTGCGGCAGCACATTACCCAGTAGTCGTGTATAGTCCAGAGACAAGCCCGTACCACGCCGGCCTATCTGGACAGGAAGTGGCAGACAGGAGCATTGCTGTACACCTGGACATGCCTGGTGCATCGGAATGGACGCTTTTGTTGCTAAGGCCAAAACAAAAAATAGGCTTGTTTCCGGTCGGCAACCCCTCAAAAAGGAGACTCGGTCGGCCGGAATGAAACTTTTTTTGGTTCCTCAATCGTTGTGGTATTGATGGACAAGATCACCTACACATGTACATTGTACATATATCATGGCAAGGATCAATGTCAGAGTTGACTGGCTCACTGTTCTTGTACAGCATGTGGTGTATTCCTATTTTCGTACATCCTGAGAAAACAAGCAAACAATTCGAGTCCTTCCAGCTCCGTTATTCTAGCTCGTATCGACCCCGGAGGTTTTCGAGCCGACAGCTGAGAATCTCTGCTACCTTGTAGGTGTTTCGTTTGTGGAATTTGGTTGAGATTTGACTGAGTTATGACTCGTTGAGTGCACTTGCACACATGGCATTGCCACCGTTTGTATACATTTGGGACCAAAAAAAGTTTCAGAATTTGGGAAAAAGTGGCCTGGTCGGCCGACCGGAAACAAGGTCATTACTTGTTTGGGCCTAAGCAAATTGGCCAAGGCAATCAATGGCGATCCTGACTTGGCTAAGGTGCCCTCTGATAGTCGTCTCATGATGCTTCAAACACTTTTCGCTGTGATCGGGTTACTCTTTCAAGTCCAAGCATTTTGGAATGTACGACAAATTCTTTATACTCTTTGCTCTTAATCACTAGATCCGTTACACATAATACGTGTTGCCTGTGAATGAGATGATACAGATCTAGAGAGAGAGAGAGAGAGTGATACTGGACCCTAATATTTTTTTGCTTTGGGCGTGTTGTGTGGGCCATGGGGCAAGCACCTTAGGCTTAGTCCCACTCTGCTTTCTTTTGTTATTTTGAAAACTAGAGTGTTGCGGCAACCTACCCAACAGGTGGCTTGAGTGCCAGGTGTACAGACTCAGTTTTGACTTACCGACCAGTTCTTTCCAGCCCAATGATCGATGAATGCGAAATGACGGAGTGTCCAACAAACATCAGCCGTGTGATTGCTGTTCGCGCAGCAAAACCTCAAACTAATATCAGGTTAGGGTAGAAGGTGTCCCTAGGGAACAGAAAACACCCTGCTATTGCCCTCGACCGACATCTGAGACTACGAGGGCCAAGTAGAGTCCACCGCAAGTTTCGGAAATAATTCGGCCATTCCTGGTAGATCTACGGCTGGGTACTTCACTCAGTTCACTATTCAGGTGAGTGCGGAAGAGTCTAACATCGTGTACCTCGGCGTTATTAATGAGCCAGCAGACTCCAAGACAACAATGAAGTCTGTGTTAGATAAGCTGCATGGCATCTACGGCGTTGGCAAAGTTACAAAATGGCTTTGCGTGGTTGGAGACGGCAAAACTGATGACCATTTGCTAAACCTGCAGTCAGAGCACGGCAGTGAGCTCGATTGGGTTGTGCCATTCATTGGCGATTGGCACACGCTCAAAGCTCTGCAACCCGTACTGATGAGGGTGTACTGGGACGCGGGCCTGAAGCAACTTGCGAGAGCAAAGGGATTTAAAGGTGAAGCTCTCACCAGCCTTGAGAAATGTGGCAATTTCCGGAAGACACACAACTTCATTCTGTCTGCATACCAAGTCATAACAATGTCCTTGGACGCATGCTCGGCAACGTACAGCGATGCACAATGCAAGTACGATGAGGTGTGGGAATTTTGGAGTGCGTTCGCCAGCAGAGATTGCATCATTTACATTGCTCTTTGGGTAGCCATTCGGTCACGCAACTGGCAACTGCGTATTGCAGCACTGAAAATGGCTGCCCCACTGTTTCATGCTTTGGACAGACCGTTCTATTTGTGGTTGGCGCCAAGACATCTAAGCCACATGGGCGCTTTGCCACAAGAGATCCAGCAGCATTTCCAGAATGGAGGGTTTGCGGTTGGCCTCTCGAAGACGTCATTCAAGACAGTTGGAATTGACGAGGCACACGAAATGTGCATTAATCGCAACTTGAAAAAGCGCTAGTGACACCTGATGCGGATTACTTCGACCGTCAAGTGCACTACTTGCCACAAAGAGCGCACATGATGTCCAATCTTTCAAGACAGCTCTTTCCTACAATTAACCCAAGCAAAGAGAAGAGTACATCCGAAGCCACAAACGGGACCACTCCAAGTGAAGCTGTGTTTAAAGGCAACTGCCAAGCCATGGAGAAGCTCCTAACAGATGCAGGCCTGTTCCACAACAATGGCCCACGGGTACTGCACAACGTGTTCACTGGTGAAGTGGCTACGCAAGAAATGAGAGCAGATTTGTTAAGTTTTTACAGTACTGGCACACGGACATACCTTGCGTATGTTGAGAGTCGGATCCTCCGCATCCCAAGCGCTAGCCCTCCTCAACGACAGCATTGATTGCGTACCTTTGCAAAGGCAAGCGAGAGGAAGAAAGCCCACAGCCAGAAAAACAAAGACAACAAACTGGTTACAACGTGCCTCAAACGCCGCCTTGCTTTCTCGCAGACACATGGCACAACTGCAAATGGCATTGGCGAACAGCTGATTGTGACACCACGGGCTCTTACAGACGATGGCAGGCTGCCAAGGAAAGGTGCTAAATCGACTGTCACTAAATTCTTTGAAGGCCGGTATGATAGTATCATCACAGCAAAACTTCCTTCACAGATGCTAACAGCTACGACAGCCATTATCTATGATGCTATGTTCGTGATTATCACCTCACCAATCGGTACTCACCGGACATTCGCGGATTATGCCACGTTCCTCATCCAACGGTGGATAACGCCGTGGTATAGGTTGGGCATACAGTCGGTTCACCTGGTCTTCGACCACCCAAACGTAGCTGGTGTCAGCCCGAAGGATCTTCTTCGGGAGCAAAGTGATGCCGTGGGCGATGCGTCTACCCTGTGCACATCAGAGCTGTGCTGCAACCATGAGTCAATCACCGGAGACATGGCACTGCCAAAGAGCTGGAGGAAGTTCTTGTCTTGTCGGAAATGCAAGAGAATGTTAGTTAATTTTATTACCACGTTTAGCCTCTTCAATTCCCTGCACTTTCTCCGGCAACCGCATCAAGCCTTTGTGACCGGAGGTGGCTTGGACGGGGACTTCACTGGCAAGGCACTTGGGACAGCGTACGGTGATCCAGTGGTAAAACAGCTAGACGTGTATGCGTCCGATGCAGAAGAGGCCGACTTTCGAGTGTGGCGTCACGCGGCAGCAAACGACCCAGTAGTCGTGTACAGTCCAGACACGGACACCTATCATGTCGCCCTATCTGGACGGGAAGTTGCAGACAGAAGTATTGCTGTACAACTGGATATGCCTGGTGCACTGGAACAGAGGTTTTTGCTCCTAAGCAAATTGGCCAAGGCCATCAATGGCGATCCAGATTTGGCCAAGGTGCCCAGCGATAGTCGTCTGATGCTACTGCAAGCACTATTCGTTCTGACTGGGTGCGACTACTTGTCCTACTTCTCTGGCATCAGCAAATTAACATTCTACAAGATCATGTTCCAATAATATGCTTCATTCATCACGAGCGGCGTGGATGCATTGGGACTGCTGAGTGACACACACAGGCAGAACGGACAGCGTGGATACTTGGCATTCCTACGACTCGTGGGCACAGCATACTATCAAAAGCATGTTGCAGCTTTTGAAGCCAACAGCCCGCACCCATTGTTCAAACAACAAGCTACAGAGACACCAGTGGACCAGCACAATACCTGGCTGTCAAAGATCAGGGATGCTGTTTGGCAACGAGTTGATTCGGAAGATGATTGTGTACCATCAGCGTCTGCCCTGCTTCTTCACTGGAAACGTGCTTGCTGGGTATTGGATATGTGGCGCCAGGCTGAGCGACCCACAGTACAGTGCCCACCATTGAATGGAAATGGGTGGCTTTTGTGTGGCAATGCACTTTCTATTCATTGGGAGCTAGAGGAGCATGCAGAGGTGGTGAGGCAACGGGTCTTGGCTTTGACCAAGGGTTGCAGCTGCAAGAAGGGTAGCTGCGAGTCAAAGCGATGCAAATGCCGGAAATCTGGCAAAATCTGTAGTCCTGGGTGCAAATGTCGCCACTGCACCAACACCGGCGGGCTTGTAGTGTCCCTGGAACACAGCAGCAGCAGCAGTGAATCCTCCAGTGACGATGAATCTGAACAAACCCAACAACAGCAAATCACAGTGGGTGATAATGAGAGAGGCACAATGGCCATGGACAGCCTAAATGGTGACATGGACAGTGACAATGATATCACTTGCTGACGTACAAGGTATGTTGATATATTACGGTAGCGGTACAGTAGCAGTAATGAGATATGAGATGTTGATCTACGTTCACTTTCCGAGCTGCGGATCCATTGGGATAACCAGTTAACACCACAGCTGGTGATACAACTCCTTATTTTAATGTCAGTCAGTGGCCTCACGCGGACGTGCGACTAGTTGTTGGAGGTGACAGCGTTGTGAATAGCTATACTGGCTCTCAACGTCTGTTTAGCACAACTCCATGAGCGACTCTGACTCACGCTGCTACCTGGGGCTTCACGAGGTGTTTGTCGTGCTGGAAACAAAGCGTCTCTGTAAGTTGGTATCCCTGGTGATGGTTTGGCCTGGAGAGCAGTATATAAGTGGTGCTTTTCAGGCACAATCTTCCTCAGCCTACTCAAGCTCAACTGATGAGGGGTGAATTCCCCGAAACACTGTGTATTGAGCAGGGAGTGGTGCTTTCTGACAGGTTTGCCGAGCGGAAGGTGCGACGTGCTCCTCGTGTGCTCCGGATGGCAGTCGTGAGTCAGTCAAGTGTCAAGTTCGGCAAGAAGCGTGTGCTCCTCGTTGGAGCAACCAACTTCATTCAGTGGCATGATAGGAATTATCAGTGTAAAATTAATCTTGGCCATAACACACATTTCATTTCATGAAGAGGTTTCACTACTTAGAATGTTAGATGTGTTGGCTACAGTACATGTTCCACTCTACATCTCTTCCATATCATCCATTCAAATAATCCTGACAAAGGATTCGACGTTGTATCTTTTCTGTGCCCTACACAGCTTTATACGCACGTCCTTCTGACTAACACATCACAGTAAAAATGAAGCAGATTGTAAACTAATCACTCCCTCCGACGGACACACGCGACAAGCCAGAGAGCCAGAGAGTAATGGTTCACATTGTATTTTGGGAGAGCAACAAAACTAAGACTAAAGTCGAGTGCAAAGAAGAAAGAAGACGGAAGACCCGGTCCCAAACGAAGGACCAAGTCCAAAGGAGAAAATATGGCGGAGTATCAAAATGACCAGCACGTGTCACGCACCAGCTCCACACGCGCGACACCACAATCACTGCATGCATGCACTGCGCTGCCTTGATACATGATCGGGCCGCGGGCGCCAGGAGAACAAAGCGCTAGCACGGACAACACTAGCGGAACTAGCTGGAACAACAGTGTTACATGCATCATGACAAGAGAACAAGATATTGCATGAAGGTCGACACACATGCACAGTTAGGTGTGATAGTTACAGGTACAGTTCCATTTCACCCCATCACCTGGCGACAAGAATGCAAAAAACTCTTGGCCGTTTTAGCTGTAACGGACCGGGGGCTGGATTGCGTTTCGATCTCGCAAGCTGTAGCGATTACCATCCGGAGCGTCTGCTTGGGCTGGCATTAATTCCATGCCGAGCAGGTCTGGTTCTTCGTTAGCATCGGCTGCCGCGCCGTCATCTGCCTGACTCTCAGCGGCCGTCGTGCGCATCACAGGGTTGTCGGGTGAATCAGGCTTCAGCAGATCGACGTTCACGGTCTTTGGGTGCTGGCGCTCATCTTGTCTGGCTATGACCACAGTCGATGGCGAGACGATAGCCGCAACACTCCATCCAGGCTCATACGGGGACAGCCGCTTCTGCCTTCGTCCAGGCCGCAGTAACAGGACAGGATCACCCACAGAGTATGCGCAGGGCTCGTTCGGTGAGTCAATGAAATCCCGGGCTGAGAGCTCCGTCTCAATGATATCCCGCACACGAGCTACGCGCGACGACAACTCTGACGCCCACTGGGTCATATCGCACGCTTCCTTCACGTCGTCAATGATGATATGGCGAGGCTGCCATCCGCTCATTGCCACCATGGGTGACAAATGGGTCGAGCCGTGCGGACGATTGCGGTAATAAAACAGCAGCACATCGAGGTCAGCACGCCAGTTCGGTGACTCTTCGAGGGTCTTGCGGATGAGGGTGAGGAGCGTTCGATTGAACCTCTCTGCTGTCCCTTGGGACTGGGGGTGACGGACTGCTCCGGTTCGCACACGCACACCCATCAGGCGAAACAAAGACTCCACTATGGCGTTGCGGAACTCCACGCCGTTGTCCAGCCGCACGACCTCGGGAGCACCCCATCGAAAACACATGGCCGAGAAGGCTGCAGCAACACTAACAGCGTCATGTCGGCGGAGCGGGCACACCTCCACCCACTTGGTGAAATTGTCCACACAGACGAGGACACAGCCGTATTTGCCGCTTCCATCACCACCGAGTTCCAGCGTGTCAATCGTGACTTCGCTCCATGGGGACCCAGGTATGTCGGCGCGGGTCGGCGCAGCTCTGGCACCCTTCCGTCCACTAGCAGACTTGCATTGCGTGCAGTTATCAACATGTTGGTGACAAGCCGAAGCAATGCCAGGGAAGAAGCAACGGCTTCGGATCATGCGATACATGACCTCCCAGCTCGCATGTCCCGAGATCTGGTGTGCATTAGAGACAACATCGGCAACGAGCGATTGCGGCACGACAGGAACACGAACGAGGCCCTCGACAGGTAGCTTGATGCTTCTGACAAGGACACCATCATCAATCTCCAGTTGGGACGCCGCTGCTGCATAGGGTGCAGTAACCGTTGCACCGGACTCCAACTGCGCCACTGCTGCCAGTATCTGGTCGTCAGTACCTTGCTTCGCCACAATCTTCGCGAGAGGGATTGGTCCGGGCAGGACTACAGCTGCACCTGCGACATCACTTTCGCTGTCGCCCAGTAGCGCCTTGCAGAACTTCACCCACGTAGGAGGAACTCGAGTCAGCACGTCTGCACGATTTTGGTCAGTCGGCACCCACTCGATCGTGACAACGAGCCCTGCCGTGGCAATCAGGTCGGCGAGAATCTGGAGTCGACGCTGGACTAGTACACCGTGCAGTCCTTTCGTCCTCGTCCGGCGCACGTCGCCAGTGACATCTCTGAGCCAACTCGCAACCGTCTTGGAGTCGGTCATCAACCGCACATGTTTCATCTCCCAGCTCACGGCCAGCGAAAGACCTCGGATAGCGGCCTCCAGCTCCATGATGTTGATGTGACGCGCATCACCGTGGGGTCTCAGCCAAGAACGATCCTCCATGACAGAGCCATCGATCTCCAGGACGACGCCAAGACCGATGTTGGACGCGTCAGCCCAAACTACGCAGCGACGAGGCTCGGGAGAGTTGGCACGCCATTGGCCCTGTGCAGGATCACCATCACCAGCTAGCCGCGCGTCCACTTCACCACACAGCTTCAAGAGTGAGGCTGGGACCTGTTCATCCCATGCCGCGCTAGCGTTGGCCATGCGCTTCAAGTAGCTGCATGCGGGTCTCAGCCAACCACAGACAGGCACGTGCCCCGTCAGGCGGCCACACCAGCTGAAGATATCGCGCTTGGTCACCGGCTGCTCGAGCTTCAGGCGAATGTCGGTACGGCGCGACCACTGCACTTGGCCATCGTCGCCTTTCGTCAACTGAAGGCCCAACACACGGGACTCAGCAAACGCCTCTGCAGGCTTCGTTGGCAAACTGTACTCAGCCATGTGGGCGGCCACTGCGTCAGCCTCGGCAGCGGGAGTCATCAGGTCGTCGACGTAGTTGTCGACAGCAGGAAACTCTCTAGTGACCCACCGGACGATGATATCCATGAACTTGGGCGCTACGTTGAGGCCGAAGCCCATCCGCGTCATCACAAACGCTTGGCCCTGCCAGACCACCATCTGAAAACGTTGCAGCTCGGGTGCAACGTGCACCTGGAGATAGGCCTTCTTGATATCGAGTAGTTGAAACTCCCGAGGGTCACCGGCCAGTCGCCATTTGCGCAGCGTCTCCTCACAGACGGGTGCTGAGCGGCCAGGCTGCGACATCAGCAGCTGGTTGAGGAGCCGATAATCTAGACATGGTCTAACCGGCGTTGATGCTTTGTGCTCCTGCAACTGAGCAATCAGCGGTAACACAGCACCAGGGCTTCCGTGAACATCCTTGTCGTGAGGAACGAGCCAACCCACATCGATCCATTTCTGCACCTCCTCTGCAAACAGCTGCTCCTGGTCAGAAGTGAGCTTAGAGCGAGAGTACTCACTCACGCCAGGTCCCACCGGATGAGTCGGAGGACTGCCTGATTTCCAGCGCCAAGAGAGGACCCACCGACGGGCGCTGCTGTCCCAGGTGACATCCCCGTCATCCGTGGACAGGGTGACATCATCACCATCACGCTGCACGCGTACATTGGGAAATGGATGGCGATCGCCGCTCGAAGACGCACCACAGACTCCCATGCTGTCCCCTGGATCGACTCGGTCGTAGCCAAATTCCACGCCGATCAAGGCACCATCACCGGAGTACTTCAGTCGAAGCCCGCCACTGCCAATGACCACATCATTGCCGACGAGCACATCAGCGTTGACCACGCTCAGATTGTCGACCACATACGCTTGCACTTCCAGGCCGGGCAGAGAGACCGCACCGTCAGAACGGGCCAACCGAACGGCAGCTGACCCCACTAGCTCTAGGGGACTACCATCCAAGGCAAGTATGGGTGGAGCAGCCGTGGGTGAAAGACTGATGCCATGCTGAGTGGCGAAGGACCGCGAGATGAGCGTACGAGTTGAACCGGTGTCTACGACAGCCCGCGCACGAACACTCGATTTCGCCGCTCCAGCAGACACATCCACGTACATACGAGGCAGCTTTCCAGGAGAGGCCAGGGAGACTAGGCATGGGTCGTTCTCCTGCTCAGCTGGTTGTGGGCGAGCACTTTCCACGGCAGCTGCAGTCCTGTCCTTCCTTGCCAGCCAATCTCTCCTCTCAGGGCAGTCAGCCTTTACATGGCCAGCACCGTCGCAGAACAAACAGGTAATCGGCTGGCTCCTTCCACCTCCGCCTGCTCTTCTGCTGGGACAATTCCTGCGGATGTGCCCAGGCTCGCCACACTTGAAACAGAGGCCCGAGGGCTTCGCGCTAGATCCAGCCTGTAAGGAGGGGGCTAATCTTCTCGCAGAAAAGGGGGAAAAGGGGAGAAAAAGAGGGGGAAAAGAAGAGCGGGAAATTGAAAAAGAGGGGGTAAAGAATGGCGGGAAAAGGAAAAAGAGGGGGAAAAGGATGGCGGGAAGCATCCACCGTTTGAATGTGCATACATCTAAAGTGAGGCTATTTCCAGGCTGTGCACAAGCCGGTACACGTCCACCACGGCCTCTCGCAGCCTCCTCCTCTTCCTCCCCCCCCCCCCCCATCACACACAATGTGCCGATTATCCTAATGTCAACTATCCAAATGATTAATTATCCAAAATAATTGCTTGAGGGGTAGAAGATGAGTTTCAAAGTTAGTGATTTTCGTCGCTCGGGGCACCATTGAAGCGATTCACAAGATGTATTAAAACAGGTTTGAGTCAAAATGTGTAATAATAGTGTCATTAATTTAGAGGAGCATGAGTGCACCTAGTTCCTGTTTCACTGCTGAAGAGAACGAAAATGATGAAAACATGCTGGAATATGCATGATTTAGATAGATGTGTGACTGCTCTCTTATCCGAACATTCTTCTCATCTGAACCCTCTGGAGACAGCCCGCGTCCCGAGGGGTGGGGATAATTGGCACTCTCCTGTACATCAAATTCTATTCTTAAATTATATACATATTGTAGAGCTCTTTCTGCTGCCGGGAATGAGAAAACACATCCCAGGTAAGGATACGCCCCTCAAGGAAACACAGCTGGTGGATTCCAACAGTCAGGGGCGTCGCACACGGTACGGTCACTACGGTATTGACCGTACCACTTTTTGCCCCAGATACCCGTGAGTCAACAAAATACACTGATCTGGGATCTAAAATTCAAAAAATTTCGGCTCAGCCACCACTCCCCCACGAGTCAATTGTACTTCAGATGGCTGACCGTACCACACTAAAATACCTTCCGACGCCCCTGACAGTAGTATGAAACTCATACACAATCAATTAGAAATACTTTGGAGAATAAACCTTTGTTGGTGAAACAAAGTTGGGCGAGAGTATGATGTTCAAGTAAAACGATACTAAAGTGCCGTAACGTGAAGAAAGGAACGTAGTGCACAAGTTAATGAAGATAAATTCACATGCAGAACACAATATGCCCAGATGTGGAAATTTAAGTCAAGATTAGCAGAATATACACACATGCAAACACACACACACACAAGCGTGTGCACACAGACGCAAACACACGCAAACACACACACACATATGCACACATATGCACACATATGCACACATACGCACGCGCACGCACGCACGCACGCGCGCGCGCACGCACACACACACACACACACTGTTGGCTGCTATAATGCGATGGCAGCCTAGACAGAGGAAACAAAGTTTACACAAGCAAATTCCTACTCTTTTTCTTTCTTTGTCTTCTTCTTCTTCCTCATATTCAATTCAAGGCAGGCTCTTCTATTTTTTTTTGCTTCGGCCAACCTCGTTTTGGGATCTGACCCAATTTATTGGGGCAGTACAGGTACCCTGAACCTGAGAGTGTCCTTCTGATGTCATCGCTCTCCTACATTTTCTGCACGTCTATATTATTCTTTCTACGAGGACAGCAGAAGGACAGAAACAAAGACATCCACACCATTTTTAAGACTGCATCTTCCAAAGAACACATCAAAAAGCAAATTCTACACGCCAAGCATCGGTTCACGCCGTAACAAATCTCCACGCCATGAAAAATTCGATCGAATGCCTGGTGGGAGATGCTTTTTAAAAGGCTTGCATACATTTTTCACAAAAGACATTGTTGTGGCTGCCACCGGATTCGTACAAGAATATGTCAACTTCTAATCAAGGACTGTAATGAGTTCTGCCTTACGTATTAGAGGGGAAGTCTGCTGAATTTTTTAATTTCAGGACCCGTAGAGTTTGGGGCGCTGAGTCGAATGTTCTTTTCCGAGGAGGCTGCGGTCCATGGTTCGTCAGATACGCCCAATCGAAAATGAGCGAAAGCGAGCACGCAGTCTACCTGATCCAGGTGATAAGGTCACAGTGTGCAGCCAGGTAGCCACACCATCTATTTGTGTGCAAAATGGCCAATATTCGAAACGCGTTCGATTTGAGAACCATCTGTCGCAGCTTCTTCGGACCAAGAGCATTCGACTCACTGTTACAAGCCCTACGTACCCTGTGATTTTCAGCTCGGCAAAATTTGAGGATACCCCGTTTTTAGCCGTTTCCGAGTTGGACTTTTTACATCCGCTGGCTTCTGCGTGCATGCCATAGTCCACAAACATACGGAACACTACACTACAGTACTGCCGCGCACCGAAGAACGGGGTCAGGGTTCTAGCCTAGCCCGTTCTTATTTTGGCGAACACAGCAGTTTCGTTCATATTCGATGGTACAGTCTTACATGTACATTTAAGCAGAGTTATACGTCTGAGTGTACATCATATTCATATTGTACATTACGTTTCTACTTAGACCGTTCTTAAAAAATAGCGAAATCATAGCCTGGCCGTTCATCGGCGGTCCGTTCTTCGGCGCCCGGCAGTACTGTAGTAGTAGTAGTACATGACTACACCCGCACTGCTGTGCTAGCGCTACGCGAGTCGTGTGGTAGATCTAAATGTACAAGAGACTAGTCAATACACGGACGTGTCATGTACTGCACCCGGTATGTAGTTAGAGAAGGTGTGCTCCTCCGGGCCGGTGATTGTGCTTTGAGAAAGAAATATTTTAGTTTTCCGCTTGGAATAGTCCAGCCTCATTTATGCTACAACGATGAGTCCACAACCGTGACAAGCGACAAAACCGCGAACAGCTCCCGGACCTAAAACGTTCAGATCCCGAAGTGTTGTGATCTTTGAATCGAAGAGTCGTGTCCGTGGTTCCAAGAACCTGCATTGTATATCCAATCGAGCAGCGTCCGAGCTATGTTTGCACCAAAAATCGTGAAATTTTCCACTGTATCATGGAAATGCCACACCCTACAGTCCCGCTGTTACCATATTTTACCGGTATAAGTCGACTTATTGAATTGAATTCAGTGCAAACAGGAATTTCGGATAATTGACCGTTTGGACAGTTGACATTCGGATAATCGGCATTCTACTGTAATCCTAGTGCATGCAATGAAACATACTTGACTGTTGGGAGTCTTGCTGCGTCAGTGCAAATTGGCAGTTAATGCTAGAAGCTGCAGTGAACAACATCACAAATAGAAAATAAAGAAAAACAAATACAACTGAACTTTGATACTGGAAATTACAGATCTGCTGCCCGCATCCACATGTCCATATTCTACATGTGCGATTGATCCTGCAAGATCTTCACTGCCCGTCTAATTGAGGATGGCACCCCAAATAGAGCGGACCGCTTCTAAACCAATCAAAGACCCAGGTTGTTATACTCCAGCAACCGGGCAAAGACCTGTCACCCACCCATGACCCATCAGCCCATCTCCTTATGCTCACATTTTGGTGTAGTAGTTGAGCACCTGTCCTTCCTTCATCAAGTGGATATCCTAAGCATGTGACTTACCGCTGGTATATCTCTGCACATCCATCTTGACTGGTTGTCAAGTCCCTTTCCGGAGAGGTAGAGTGGATGGTAGGGTCAGTGCAGTCCTGGCCACGCCATGAGAAAGAAGACATTTTCCCATCAGGAGAAGGCCAACATCCTCCCTCTGGGTAGTGCCTTGATACCTGCAGTGCAGTGCAGTAACATTAAACTGCAATTGAAACTGTCTCCATGCCATTGTTAAGCCCAGTTCACATTCGACGGGGCGCAACGGGACGCGACATAAGGATCGACGGGAAACGCCGGGACGGTCACCCCGGCACGGACTGTGCCTTATGACTCGCACCATTCGCTGTTGAACATCGCAAAGACTGGAGCATGTCGTGTCGTACGAATTGTACAAGATTTTACAGCTCACCCCAGCCGTCACAGGCCCTTACGTCCCGTACCGTCAGCGTTGCGTCGAAAGAGAACTAGGCTTTAGAAAGATTACGTGTTGGTATGTGCTCCTAATTACACACAAATATACAAAAGGTATATAAAGAGAAAGCATGATCCACCCCATCATTGACACCAACAGCCCGGCACAAGAGCAGCAGCACCTGCATTCTATTAACCCAAAGTTCATCTGCGAATATACTCACAGAGTCGTCTCCTTTACTGTGCCCGACCTTGGAAGAAAACAACACAGCAACGTAGTGTTGGTTTCGGTGAGGGCTTCTACGTTCACATGAACACACAGAAAAGTACAATATATTTCCAAACAGACGCCAACTAGTATAACCAAACAGCAACGACAACACCACAAAGACCTAACAGTCTCTTGAGCACAAAGTGTCTGGGATAAAAAAAAGAGCAGAAGTTCACCATCGACACTGGTATTATAAAACTTTCTACAACTGCTGCAGAGGCAGCAGCAGGGTTCTAGTGCCCAGACCCAAAGCTCATCTGAGAATTTTCGCCATTGATACAAAGCAACGACCATGGTAGCAGCAGAGAGTAACAGCAGCAGCCGTTTGAGCAGCAGTATCAGCAGTCTCCAGCTTCAAGGGATTGACCTAGCAAATTTTACAGTAACATGAAAAGTGCAACTGCACTCTTTCCGGCACCAAATATGCCATGCTGTCCCCCGCTGCAAAATAGAGGACAACTCTCAACTGTCGCCAACACCTTGGCCCAGAGGGAGTCTTTCCTTCGACATTCGCCCCGGCCAAAGAAGGTCAAAACCCAAGTGGTGTAATCATGTATCTGCTTCTCCTATCGCGACACTGGCAAGGCTTGTATAGGCACGATAAATTGATAATACTGTATGCATATAACAAAGGCAAACGCACAAACTCACGTCCATGCACATGTGCACGGACGGTGTCGTTGGCGTACACACACACACACACACACGCGCGCCCACGCCCACGCATGCACAGGACAAAGGCATGTGCAAAGGAGCATGCTCATAAAAGCACAGGACAGGCACACGACTGATCTACGGATGTATCACGACATTGAAGGGACGGAGCTTGCAGCAAGCCTTCACGCTCTGGAGATTCCTGAAATACATAAATACATGTCAGCAGTAAATAGTTGCAGCATAAACATTTCCACGGGGACTGTGCAGCTTCACTAACCTTAACTTCAGTCTCCCCAGAATGCAGCAATCAGACAACGGCTACGAAGAGGTGCAGGAAATTTGAACAACTGTTTCAAAAGCAGTCCTCCAAGCCTTCTGCACCAACAGGTGATTCAGTTCGTGCTCTTATACCATCCTGGCAGGTAGAGACATTTTCTAATAACACGAAGAGCACAATCATCAAGGTGGGCAAATCCTCAAGAGAGAGTGCACCCTAACTTACACTACAAATCATTTACTGGACACTACTGGACAGAGCGTCCAGTCCATTCAGTCCAGGGGAGAAGAGGCAAAGGCATAGGGCTCCTGAGAAGATGAAAGGGCAACACATTATCATTACTACATTAATTTTATTATTGGGGGCAGACGTCTTCTCTGTAAAATATGAGGACGAAAGGCACATCAGTACTCACATCCCTGCTCATATCACTGCTCATCCCTGTCCTCTACGAGGGCAATGCATTTAGGGCTGAAACAAGTATACAGATAACTCGCAAACCGATCGTTTTAAGAGCGCAATCGATAATCGTTAGGGTTCAAAGCGAATGCAAACGATTTTTTATGCATGCATACCAGTGGCAGTATTCTAGCCCTTGCACTCCATCCAATTGTGGATACGAGTGCAATCGTGTACTTTCAAGCGCAGTAATATTGATGCGTGGCTATGAAAGAGATCGGGAGTCAAGACGGTATCTTTTCGATTGATTCGTTGCGGAAGTTGGTGATAAGAGCTTCAAGCCAAAGGGTGACGACAAGCCTGATTCTTCGTTCTAGAAACAACAACATGAACTCCTCTAGTTCATATTGATAAAGCCTAGTTCAAATTCGACGGGACGCGGCGTAAGGATCGATGGGAAGCGACAGGACGGTCTGACGGCGTCCAATGTGAACATCAGGAACGGGAACGCAACCATACTACCGTACGGATCGGGAAGCGACGGGAAGTGTTGGATCAGTTCAACTTTTCATACCGTAGACGGGCATAGACGGAGACACAAGCGTACAAAACGGCTGCATTTTGAGTGAGAACAGGAGGCGGCGTCGTGCGCCATCCACTCCCGATTCGTACTGGGAAATTTTTAGGATTTCGAACACTGCGCTTCCCATGATAACTCGCAGAATGGCTAACACGACTTGAGTTGAATTTTAGCAAGATAAGATCTCATGTCACTTATGGTATTTAGGGATAGTTTAGGAGAATGACAGATGAACTGTTTTATCATTTCCTAGGGCTACTATTCGAATGGCACAACTTTCAGGGCTACTTTTTTGTCTCCATGAAAAACTGGTATTGTGAATTTGATTTCGCTTCATTCAAGGAGAAATAATTGAAAAGAAGTCCCGAAAAACAAGAAATTAGGTCCGAAAGTCACCCCGTCACGGACTGTGCCTTATGACTCGCGCCGTTCGCTGGAGAACATCGCAACGACTGCAGCATGTCGTGTCGTACGAATCGTAAAAGATTTTACAGCTCACCCCAGCCGTCCCGACAGGCCCTTACGTCCTGTACCGTCAGTGTTACGTCGAATGTGAACTAGGCTTTAGACCAGTCAGATGTCTACAGGTGTCGACACAATTGCCTGAAATGTTTACAGAATACCAAACACTGAGCGGTAGCCTGGGTATATTTAGAGTGTTTGACTGGTGGCCACAGCTAATGTAGCAAAGGCATCATGGAATTTCTTCATAGTCTTGTGTTCGAGGTGCACGACTACAGCCGGAAAGAATCTATAATAATTATGAACCAACAATTATAATTGATCTCAATGTCTCAGTACTCATACTCCTTGTCAGTTTTGTGCTAGATTGTGCACGTCTGACTATTCGAAATCTGGTTTAGTTGGTGGACTCGATTGCATAACTTGTGCCCACATTTTTCTATGTTACAATGATATTCATCGCTAAAGAGATTGGTTGATCGCTTGGAGTTATTGAATGATCGTTTCAGCCCTAATTTATTTTCACCCTGGCCACAGCACTAGGCGAAATTCTCTGACACGGCCTTTACCTGCATCCACTGCTCTTTCGCATCACGACGAAGGACATGCAGGGGTTCTCTCTGAGCAGAGGAAAGTAGCCATCGCCACCACCACCATCACCATTCACCGACAATACTAGAGAGACTATTTTCCCCGTCGTGGGTACTTCCAATAAAGTAATTCCACTTACATAGGTACCGTCAGCGGCGCCACCATGTTCCCAACAGTGTATTCCTATCGTGGGTACTTCCACGGGCAATAAATTCGGCTCGTGCTGTCACGCGCAAGCCATCAAATTCCTATACCTCCGTTGCGCCAATTGCCTCTGCAAACAAAATTATTTCAATGATTGGATTAATTCAGTTCTTTTCGCTCGTGCACGTCACGCCGGGTGCACTGCGCGCGGCCCATCTCCGCCCGTACATTGTTCATCTTGTTTCATCTTGTTTCATTCGCGGCCTATCTACGCCCGTACTTCGAGTTTCATTTGGTTTCATCTTGTTTCATCTTGTTTCATCTTGTTTCATTTTGTTTCATTTCGTTTCATCTCGGCCCCATCTGCGCCCGTACATTGGCGTTTCATCTTGTTTCATCTTGTTTCATCTCGTTTCATCTCGTTTCATCTTGTTTCATGTGTTTCATCTGGGGGGAAGACGGGCCCGTCAACCTTGCCCTGTGAGTGTGACTTGGTACTGGTAGGACCACTCCTGGTCGCTGCACCACCCGACGAGGCGGCAGCTGACACACTGTCACCTCCGCTGGCATCTGAAATTCTCAGAGCTCGAACAATAGACACACAGTCGCTTATCGACATGTCCTTTCCCACGAGACTGAGCCGTACTTGCCGGTTGTAGTCGGCAGGGAGGCCTTTCAACAACTGCTGCACTACCACAGGATCTTTGTCGTCTGTCACTTTGTGACCGGATAACTCCGCGAGGCGCTTCAGATCTGCAACAAATGCATCGGTGGACTCGTCGCACTTCATTTTCCGCACCACAAACGCCTCGTACGCAGCAGACTTCGTCATACTGAAGGACGATAGCATCAATTTGACCACCTCGTCCTGCTTCTTTCGGTCCGCATCCGCCATTCCCTGAAATACCAGGAACGCGTCATCCGCAAGAAACAGAGGGAAATGCTTCATGCGCTTAGCCTCATCATCCCAGCCCTGGATCTCCGCAAGAACGAGGAACTTTGCCCAAAACTGTTGCCAGCTCTCATTGCTCTTGCCCCGAAAGGGCTTGACAAAACCGTCGACTTTCAGACTCGACATCCTGAACTCCGCAGTCGCAACTCACGACGGCCCTAGTTCAATCCCGGGTTTCGGCACCACGTTGTAAACTAATCACTCCCTCCGACGGACACACGCGACAAGCCAGAGAGCCAGAGAGTAATGGTTCACATTGTATTTTGGGAGAGCAACAAAACTAAGACTAAAGTCGAGTGCAAAGAAGAAAGAAGACGGAAGACCCGGTCCCAAACGAAGGACCAAGTCCAAAGGAGAAAATATGGCGGAGTATCAAAATGACCAGCACGTGTCACGCACCAGCTCCACACGCGCGACACCACAATCACTGCATGCATGCACTGCGCTGCCTTGATACATGATCGGGCCGCGGGCGCCAGGAGAACAAAGCGCTAGCACGGACAACACTAGCGGAACTAGCTGGAACAACAGTGTTACATGCATCATGACAAGAGAACAAGATATTGCATGAAGGTCGACACACATGCACAGTTAGGTGTGATAGTTACAGGTACAGTTCCATTTCAAGATAATGACGTCAATACTATCAATGTGGCAAGAATCTTAATGGATCAAGCAAGATCGTTGCTGCCAAACAGATCAGGGCACCACTGATTGAAACTTACTATTTCAGGTCGAAGCATTATGGAATACACGGTAAGTACCGTATACCCTTTGCTCTTAGTCACCAGATACATTACATATGCATATCCACCTTCATTAATTTAGTGGTGTACATATTATTTTAGCAAAACAAATTCATCAGCATTATGGAATGCACGACTTTATACCCTTCGCTCCTTGTCAATAGATGCGGCAGACATGCATTGTCCATGATTGCTATGCTAAACAGAGACATATTGCCCCTGATTATGCGAAAATATTAGTCGTGATTTTTCACATAATAGCAACACACCTCTGGGAATTTCGTGCCGCGTTGTGTGGCAAGCACGTACACTGCTTTCTTTTGCTGATTGATAAACTAGAGTGTTGCGGTAACCTACCCACCAAGTGGCTTTAGTGCCAGTTATACAGTTTTCACTTACCAGCCAGTTCTTTCGAGCCCAATGATTGATGAATGCAAATGAAATGACGAGTGTCCAACAAACATCAGCCGTGTAACTGCGCTTCATGCAGCCCATCCTCAAACTAATATCATATTGGGGTGGAAGGTATCCGTACGGAGTCGAAAACACCCTTTGATTGCCCTTGACCGGCCTCTGAAACGACGAGGGCCAGGTAGAGTCCACCACAAATTTTGGAATTTCGGCCATTCCTGAAGGCCTGAACATGAAAAGACGGCGTCAGCGGGCTTTGTTTCCCGCGGTTGCAAATAATCCTACTGAGTACTGTGAAAAAGTAACAGCCATAGTTACTTCATACTTGAGTGAAAAGGCTGTAGCAGTGTGACGTAATGTTGCAGGGTACGCAAGATATTGACGTCACTCCATACGGACGTATACATGACAGTACTGTACTGTACAGTCAGTGTACTACATTTTTTCAAAGCAACACAAACACATCGCGTAGCGGTACGACGATTGCCCAAAAGACAACAAGATCACACTTCATTATTGGTTTTGAAAGGTTTTCATGTCGAATTTGGTTCGTGTCAGCCAGCAGTTCGTCGAACAAGAAACGAGAAGTCTCTAAATTTCTTTGCCATGGTAGAGATTAGGTGGACTGGTAGCCAACATGCCGCCAGTTACGAGCTTGGCAACGTCCATGAGCAAGTTGAATGAGCTTGTTGGAGATCCTAAAGTTGACAGAAATGGAGATCTTCAGTTGTGAGTTTTTTATTATTACTTTGTCTGATACTGCTCAGCGTCTCTATTCAGCTATTGTTTCCTTGCTGCCCTTGATTTCTTTCAACGTGCAGGTTTTGCAAGTCTGCCTTCAAACTGTACGGAAAGGCGATGGACTGTGCGAAGTGCCACGAGGATGAACATGCTTACATCTACTTCATGCGATTCATTGGCATCATGCAGGAAATTCGAAAATGCCGAAAGTACAAGGCAAATCATGTAAGCTAGGGCTGTAAAGACTCGTAGTTTTTTCAGCGACATTTGTTTTTGGACGATGTCCAGCTGCCATTCTGACTATCTAACGATTGATCAGTTTCCTGTATTGCCTAGTAGTCCTAGATTGTGACCAATAGTACCAGGCTTATTAAAGTTCATATTTAAGTTATATACACTAAACTACTCCCTCAACCTTATGAATATCTATAGTAAAGAAAAAGGACCAAGAAACTACAAGTTAGTTACGCTATAATGTCCACTAACACCACCAGTTATTAAACTAAGTACCGTCGGTCAGTGTCGTGCAATGTTATCGCACGAGCTGATTGTTAAAGGGGAAGTTAAGGCAAAAATTATAATTTCACCAGTTGTAGTCTTCGGGGTGCTGAGTCGAATGGTCTTGGTCCGAGAAAGCTGAGACGCTCCCTTCCTACTTGAATCCCAATCGAACTCGCGCACTTCCACCGAAACTGGGTGACTGCGCCCTACTAGATGGGGATTTGTATGCAAAATGTCACTAAAAGCGCCATTTCGTTCTTATAAAAGCACGGATGACCGTGATTGGCCCATATGTTGTAGTCTTTTGGACGCTGAGTCGACTGGTTTTGGTCCGAAAAGGCTGCGATGCAGCGTTCCTCCTTTATTCCCAATCGAACATGGTTGAACAAGCGGTCACGTGCTCCTGGGTGCCCAAATCACCTGGTCACCGCGCCAGCAGGCGACAACTTTCACACCAAGGTTCAACTCGAGTTCAACTCGAGTGACAGGACTGCACCCAAAAAAGGTCAAACAGGCTAGTAAGTTGTACCCTGCAGGCACAGTGACCAGGTGACTGGTGTACGCAGGAGCACGTGGCCGCTTGTTCAACCATGTTCGATTGGGAATAAAGGAGGAACGCTGCATCGCAGCCTTTCGGACCAAAACCAGTCGACTCAGCGTCCAAAAGACTGCAACATATGGGCCAATCGCGGTCATCCGTGCTTTTATAAGAACGAAATGGCGCTTTTAGTGACATTTTGCATACAAATCCCCATCTAGTAGGGCGCAGTCACCCAGTTTCGGTGGAAGTGCGCGAGTTCGATTGGGATTCAAGTAGGAAGGGAGCGTCTCAGCTTTCTCGGACCAAGACCATTCGACTCAGCACCCCGAAGACTACAACTGGTGAAATTTTAATTTTTGCCCCCCCCCCCCTAACCTTTTGAGCACGACGCTACCTGAATGCCGCCCCACGCCAACACCTGCAAAAATCGCGTTTTTCCTATGAAAGTAGTAGCTGTTCAAGGATCGATAACTTTACCTTTCTTTGGACGAATTCCACGATCTTGAGCTTCCTGCAAAGGTCTTGAGGCGAGGAACAAAATAGTTCCAAGCTCAGCTCGGAGCGACACCAAAAGCCCATGCTACAGTCTGGCAAACTTCACGCACGCGCTCGACAGACTTGAGCACGGCCAGGAGATCAAATCCTCAGCTGCCATTTCACTCTCCTTGCTCGTATCGAGCTCAAATTTTTTTTGAGGACTCCCCAGATCCGCTGCCATCATTTGAATCTAGTTTCCATGGCAGCAGATAGCGCGAAAATGATCGAAAATGGAAAATACGCGTTCTGCAGAGTTCGCAAAAAAATCGATTTGAATTTGCCTTGTCGAGTCGCATATCTCAACAACCCGGGGTCGTATCGCTTCGGCGATTGTTTCTATCGCAAGCTGAGAGTTTTCTCTTGCAGATACATATTTCGATCGTGAGAATCGGCCAAGAATTGACCGAGTTACGATAGTTTGAACTCACGGGGTTCATGCAAATCGCGTTTGTACGCTATGTACACTCACGACGTAATAATACGTCACGCGTGGGTGCAGTGACACTGTACGCACATAGAACTTGTATTAATACGTCATGCGTGCTCAAAGGGTTAACTTCCCCTTTAAGTAACTGGTGGTGTTAGTGGACATTATAGCGTAACTTGTAGTTTCTTGGTCCTTTTTTCTTCACTTCTAAACTTATGATTATCAAAATTATTTATTTTTACATTCATCAAGGGACAAGAGAATAATGATTACAATGCTGGCCAGTGAAATCTGACCAGTTGACCAAGAGCCGTACCGCGAGTTGCATATTGGACGCGTAAACAAAGCTGAGTTGCAAAGCTTTGGGGTGTCAGAGGCTGCTTAACTCGGGGGAGCGGGTAGTGTGCCTTTACTCGGACTTCACTGACCAGTGCTGTATTGTATTGATACTTAGAATAGCCCGTGTGCGCATTATACATGTGTACAGAATCCATTAGGGGTGAAACGAAGGTCTCAAATTCCCATTCGAACCTTCTTTATTAGAACGAACGAAGGTCGAAGGATTCTTTTTTAACATGATCACGGAAACGCTCAAAAATCTTAAAAATAAAAAGGTGCAAAAATCAGAACCCAATACTGACATTGTATGTGCAATTTGTTTCTGAATCTGGTAGTATCAATGTATCCATTCCAGGTAAAAAAATTCTTTGGCCCAGCTCACCACTATACTGTAAGACATGTTATTATAACGAGTCGCAAATTTAACGATTGTCCAAAATTCAAAGGTTAACGAGAAGATATGTTAACGATCTTGCAGTATTCTGCCGTATCCACATACAGCATATATGAAGCAGTACGGCCTCAACGGATCTTATTATAACGAAGAAATGTCATCCGTTAAAACGTTAGATTTGCTTCCTCGTTATATATACATGTCTTACAGTAGATAGAGGCAAAGTTTTAACATACTCTTGATAGAGGCCATACCCAATACCTGTTTGTGAGTCAATTGTCCATATTTCTGACAATTTAGATCAGTGTACTTGGGATCGTGTACAGACTTGCTAGCCTTGGCCTTTTTGACACAAAGCGACAATAGATCACTGCTCTAGTGTACGGCCAGTTGCGTGCTTGAACAATACCAAAATGGACGGAAAAGAGCCATATTGCGTAGTAAATATCAGATGCCCAACTTCATCAAAAAATTGTCAAATCTGGACATGTACTTTTCGCTTACTAGTATCTGCTCGCATCGAGCGGGTGCATTGGTGATTGAGAGTAGAGTGAATAGTCACTGGGTGAGGAACTTCACCTGCCACGAGGATTTCAGGCCATCGCTGCGCTCCCTCTCGCTGCTGCTGGGAGAGTGAATACTGCAATGGCTTCAGCGATGGAAACTTTTATTTTCGATTCAAATAATTATTAGACTACACTCGTATCGCTGCTACAACGTTCTCCAGACACCATCACTAGCAGATATCGACGGCAGCTACAGCAAGCTATATTCCTGGTACAAGCAGCATAACTGAGCGAAAACACGATCGAAATAGCAAAACTACACTCCTACTAGTATCGCAGAGCGCCAAACACTCGACGAATACAATCAAAAAAGTCATCCATGAGTACACCATGGTAGATCTACACACCAACGCAAAACGGGAATCAATGCATTGATGCATGCACTAAACCCGTGTCGACCTTCGTTCGAATCAAAAACGAAGGTTCGTTTCAAAGGAAAACGAAGGTCCTTCGAACCTTCGACTACTTCGTTTCACCCCTAGAATCCATGCATCCTGTTTTGGTATTTGCGCACATAGAACTTTATTGTGCGGGAACAAATAAAATGTTGACCTATCCAGCAATGCCATTTAGAAAAGTTTTTTTGTCATGAGCGCGAGAGTAACCCACTTGTAGTGCGCAGGAGTTGTGTTTTCTGCAGTGCATTGGTTTGAGCAGTGTGACCGATTTATGATTTATCAAACTGAAACTCCATGGGGCCGATGTAAAACACATGAGAAGGTTTCACGGAGACTCCGTGCATTTCAAAGGGCGTTGAAGAGTGACGTTGTTGTCCTAGGCTAGGGCTTGGCTCAGTCAGCAGGAAGGGAATGGGCATGTCCACCGACTGGATGATCTGAAGATAGCAGGGTCTCTGTTACTGTACATTTGTGTGTATTGTGTGCTGCTGTTCACGCATTGAAATTGTGTGTTTCAACTAACATTGACTTACCAATAAAACTATTCCACCTCCACCACATGCACTCTCTGGCCGACCTCATCACACCAGCAACAGGACTTCAAGTTGTAGGTACTGACGAATGAAATGTCCTCCATACAGCGCTGTTTCGATGACCACTGATCACTGACTGAGGTCACTGATGAGACCTCAATGGTCGGAGCAGCGCTGTATGGAGGAGATTTTATTTGTCAGTATCTACAACTTGGGAGTCCTGTTGCTGGTGTGATGAGGCCGAAAGCTGCTGCTTACCTACTTATAGACTTACCAGTACTTGCAATATGCCAGTACGCCTTTATATATTTACAGGACTTCTGAGTGTTGCAGACCGCTCGCAGGTGTGGACGTGATGTGATCCGTGATCCTGAGTAGCTTGGACAAAATTCACGTCAATCAGTGTAGGCATGTCTTTTTTGACATGTGTGTTGTTTGCTTTGCTCTTGTGTTGTGTTGTGTGGAACTCAGGCCATGTACGATGCGATTGTGGACACTAAAAAGATCTTTAGTGCCATGGAAGAGGCGGAGCGTCTGTGTAAGGCACTGAAAACAAGGTGATGACCAATAGTTGAGCTGAGCTCATTGTACAGTTGTTTAGCTTTGACATCTATGATTTATTTTGTGTGCTTAGACTGCTACTGACTGCATCCCTAGAAGATTGTACAGCGAAACCTGTCTAAGCCGACCGCTCAGGGACCTTCAAAATGTGGTTCCCGTGTTCAGATGGCCTCTTTATCCACGGTCATTTCATGATTTGACTGGAAATGGTATCCCTTGGTCCTTGTTGTAGTTGCCCTTTAGGACAAGTGGTCTTGACAGGTGTTACTGTATCTGCATGTGGGAGGTTAGCATTGTGTGTGTGTGTGTATGTATATTTTCTTCTCAGATACACGGAGCCGCTTGGCGGCACACCGGCAGGACCTAGTGCACCTGCTGCTGCTGATAAGAAAGGTGTGTATGTGCTTGTTTACTTAGTCGTCTATGCGTTCTGGATATTTGTCTTAAGAAGTATCGTTTCTTTCTGTGCCTGGCTCGTTCCTTGATAGGCGACTCTAGACTGCAAGTATACATAATTATACATGTAAGGATACGTCGAAGCTGGTTTCACGGCCATGAAAATGATGTCGATTAAAACACCGACATGTATGCCTAGGCCGGTCGCAGTGCACACATACACACACACTCCCTCTTTGGGACAGGAGTTCATTGCCTTTCTTCTCTTCATCCTTTCTAGGCTCTTCATTGAGCCCATCCAGGAGCAAGACGGACAAGGGTAAAGACAAACTTGACAAGCCTTCACCACCAAAGTAAGCCCAGCATATGTATTTGTAATGTATCTCCCATTGTTCATGAAGAGTACATGTATCCCTATCTGGTAACCAGTTGTCTAGGATGCTGCTGCTGCTGTGCTTGTTGACTATTCCTAGCATTGTAAATGTTGCTGCACTGCTGTGTTTGATGTTGCTAGGCTTGGTCTCTGCCTGTGGTGCTTCATGTTTATTATATCAATGATGATACATCGACGTCAGTTACTGTGTGTGGACTGTGCTCGAGTGCAAGGAGTGTGGCTTGTTGCAGGGTATAATATGTACACGTAATGCGACGCACACTTTCTTTTTCTATGCACTGATCATTAAATCCCTCCTGCTGGCATTTCACGCTTCTGATTGGGCATTTCATTGTAATTACCGACATGAGCAGACTGCAGGCTGGTATTTAGCACGGTGCTTGTTTGGCATGAAGCATATGTAGCCACTTTGAGGCTGTCTTGCTGTTCTGTAGATTATAGTGTTTTGATCTGTAATGATCTTCTGCAGTAATTCGAAGAAGCCGTCATCGCCCTCCTCCAGCTTCCCACCAACCGGTTTCGATGGTCCTGTCTTGGTAGGCTGTGTTCTTTGTTCGTGCCAATTATAGATCTTCCTATTCTTTGGATTCGTGTTCATAATCGTAATGGAATGCCTGTGATTCCAACAACGCTCGTCATGTGATGAAGATAAATATTTAGCAGAGCACATGTTGTGAGATTGTGGTGGTATAGCAAATTGTTTTGGAGAGCCTTATAGACGTTATGCAAGTTGTACAAATCCACGAAATCCCGTAGAAGACCCGGTTGGGTGTTCATTGTGTGCTATGCATGCGCATTTGACCTATTTTTAGCCTCGTAATTTAATGGCAAGCAATCCCTTTTCCAGCTGCTTCACTTTGGTTAGAACTAATGATTAGCTAGATCATTGTCAGGAAAAGGTTTTCTTATGAAATGCCTTCAGGGCCCATTTCTTAGTGGAAATAGCAGAAAACACAATAGGGTCCTGCACATTCAACACCCAACCGGGTCTACGGGATTCTACAGGATTTCGTGGATCTGTACAACTGGCATAAAGCTTATTGGCTGCTTGTACCTTAATTAACATCTGAAATGTGTTCAACTATTCTCTTGCGTCTATGCTCAGACTTGATATTATTTAAACTTTTGAAGCTGTCCAATTTATTCGTGGTGCTGTGTGTGTATCTCTCTTTGTTTTCTTTTTTTTTGTAGACTATCATGCCATCTAGAGTGACTGGTTAGTGTGACAATCAAGCTAAGATAGATGCATATTGAATTGTATGTACATCCACATGTCGTTTGTAGGTCACCATGGGATTGACCGCGCCAGTGTTATAGTGCGAATATGTTGGGAAGTCGATATCGCATTTCTTGTGATGGTACAAGGGCAAGATGTAGCAAGAATGACAACCGTGAGGTGTACTTGATGATAGGTTTCTTACAACAAGTAACACAACATCAACCACGCATCACCACCTGACTGTGCCAATGATGGAAATGCTGGTTGCTTTGTCCCATACAAGTGCTGGCCCCGTATAACGAACATACAGTGAGTATCGTTTATAAAGTGACCGGGTGTAACGATATACCGGCTATAATGATCGAACTCGCCAAAATCAAAATCAAATCACAAAAATATCACTATACACACTAGTATCGGCTATACCGATATATCGCTTATTGTGATGGGCTTCAGGAAGCAAACCATATCAAATGCACAGGAAAATATCGTATATACTGATCAAAAGTGATGATCACAAAACAATTGTTCTTCAAATTTAGTTCATTTCTTCCAAAACTGATCCAGTGTTGCCTGGATGCATCTGGCAGCAGACGTGATTGAGAGAAAATTCTTCCCTGTATGCTGTAAGCAGCCACATGTACACGTGGCTGCTTTTCATGCTTTTTCCAGCATGTATGCATCATTTCATACACAGTCATGTGCCATGTGTCAGTCATACATGCAAATCGGATATAGTGATGCACCGGATATAGTGATAAATTATCGAACATCAAAGGGGCACGTTATATCCACTATTTACTGTACTAATACTGTCATCCCCCGCTGGCATATGCATGTATTTGTGTGTCTGTGCAGAAAAGAAAGATTCATCTGTCGCTCCGGTAGAGGCTATTACGAGCCGAGAGTTGTTCAGCATTCTGAAGGCCGGGCATGGTAGCAGTGCTCAAACGCCATCGGTAAGGAGGAGTGTGATTTGTGAAGCTGCTTTGCCTTCCTGTTCTTCACAGCATTTAAACCTTGCATCTGAGTGAGTGACTACTGGAAACGGTGAGGCAAGCACTGGTGTTCAAATCTCACTCAATAAACAAGTTTAAATAATACTCATGTACTGTTGGCGACATTTTTTTTGCTACTTCTCTTCAATATAGGTGTTGCTACTGGATATTGGCAGCAGGGACGAGTTCAACAACAACTCCATCAAGCATGAAAGTGCAATCTGCATTCACATCGATCCGTCTGTTATTCACTCTGGGTAAGGGAATGTTTCTGAATACTGTGAATATGACATTGTATCAGGCTCACTACCGGTATTGGAGTTATACTTTTCTTTAGTTTTCACCGTGTTTCTTCTGGCTGCTCCTGTTTGTGCTCTTGCTATCACATCACTGCTGTATACCGGTAAGCTCATTGTGCTAGTTCAATTTCTTTTTGCCTATATTCCACCTGGTGAGAAGGCAATGGAAGTAAGTGTCTGTGGAAAAGTTTTGGAAATGTTGATTTTGAGGAGCCTGAAACTTTACCTTTTCTTGAGTGTCAATAGAGAGGTTCCGCACTACGTAAAGTTGAGCAACTTTACGTTAGTGGGCGGGGAAAACCCGTGAATTCGCGAGTTTGCACTCCACTTACGGAAAGTTGTCTACGGAGAGTACGTAGATAGGGCTCTGATAACGTAGCTGGTCCGTAAGTGGATTGGGGTACAAATTTATGACTTTCTTCCCAGGTCGATCTAGTCGTACACTGCCGCGTTCGGAGTTGCCAAGGGCAGCTACGTGGTTTGAAAACTCCGTATGGCGGAACACAGATGCGCATGCAGTTTACGTAAGACTTTCCGTAGATCGACTACGTTTTTTACTAACGTAATTACGTTATGCGGAACCTCTCTAATGTCTGTAGGTTCTGGTTTCTCTTCTGTTTGCATTGAGGTATGCTTGTGTTTGTTATGGAAGCCGAGTCTTGGCCTGATTGCACTCATGGAAACTCTTGTCTGTATGCTGTTGTGAAATTCTGGCAGGATAACGACGGGTAATATCCTTGTGTCTTTGGCATCGGAGGCATGGGCCAGCACTTGGTCAACTCGCCACAGCTTTGCCAACATTGTGCTAACTGACACATCAAGCACACTTGATGCCGTCAAGGCACTGAGCAGTACCTCGTTTCTCTCTGCCACCGCCTCGACAACAGCTGGTCCATCTCTTAAGATGGCCATTCTAAACAACCTGCTGTCTCGGGTTAGTATCAGGATGGCGTGTGTACACAGCTGCACTTACTTTACTATGAGAATGACCTCCTTCGAAGTATTTCAGGGGTTTGATTTTTACAAAGAAAGTCGAATGGCCTCTTGTACGGGCGAAATAACACAATCCATGATCGCAATGAAAAACTAAGAAGTACTGAAGTAGTAAGAAGCTATTTCAAGGCTGTGTTTTACTTTTACCAACACACGGTGCATGTACTCGGATACGTTGTACATTGCTGCACACAATACAGCATAGAGTACATGCAATGGCCATGAGAAAATTACCGTGTGCCTTATTTTCCAGAGCATTGTGGACGCCGGAGTGTTGTGGACACACACACCGTAGTAGTCTGAAATTGGGAGTATTCTAGGTGCATTTCATATCATACATTTCATAACGTTATCCGGAGTGTAATGCGAACCCGAGGCATTTGAGCCTAAAGTAATGGTTCCTAACACGCACTATGCTGCAGCAAATACAATATGTTGCCTGTTCACTCTGTGTCGCTATTCAATGCAGGAGAGCGCAAACGACTGTAAGATCTCAGTACTGGACGGTGGCTTTGCTGAGTGGCAACTGCACTATCCTGTCTTCTGTGCTCATGGGAATGAAGCGCGGGTAAGAGTGCGAATGTTTGCGCTGGGTGGCTGGGAACCACTGTGCTTTTCACTACCAGCTTAACATGGGGAGGGGGGGGGGGGGGGGGATCAACGGTATTTTACGATACATTTACCTTATAATTATGTTGTGTACAATACCCGGTGGGGTTTAACAAAAATGTTATGTCAGGTAGCTCTCCCGTACCCGTAACGTGCCGATGACTTTTGAGCGGAGGTGTCAGTCAAGACTGCGATGCATATGGTGTGTGAAGGTCCAGTATCTGCTGCCTTGCTGATACCTCTGAGTCTCTCATACACAGTCTCAGTGTTTTTGCTCTAACTGAGATTGAATTTCTCTTTTATTTTATCTATCTCTGCAGATACCCAGGAGCAACAACACGCAGGCTCATGCATTGCTGGATTTTCCCGACTTTCCTGAAGACATTGAGCGAGCTAGGCTGGAAGCTGAGCAACAGGCTCAGGCCCAGAGGCAAGAGGAACAGCAGCGGCAGCTGGAGTTGCAGCAGCGGAAAGCACTTCAGGAGCAGGAGCAGCAGCAACGTATTGAACAACAACGGCAGCAGCAACTTCTTGAGCAACAGCGGCAGCAGCAACTTGTGGAGCAACAGCGGCAGCAGCAACTTCTTGAGCAGCAGAGGCAGCAGCAACTTCTGGAGCAACAGCGGCAGCAACAACTTTTCGAACAGCAGCGGCAACAGCAGGTTGCTGAACAACAGCAACAGCAACAGCTGATGGAGGAGAGGCAGAAGCTACAGCAGCAGCATCAGGAGCAGCAGCGACAAGAACAGCTATTGCAAGAGCAGCAGCTCCTCCAGGAGCAGCAACGTCAGCAGGAGGAACAAAAACAGCAAGAGCTCCTGAACCTTCAGGAACAACAACGCGTCCAGCAGCAAATGCAAGCTGAAGAGTGGCAGCGGATGCAGCAGATGAGCTCACAACTTCCCACAGGTGAGCAGCAGATGAGCTCACTACTTCCTGCTGGACAGCAGCAGCTATGGTTACAACAACAACAACAACCACAGAATCAAGCCATGTCCGTGCAAGAACCATGGGGAAATGGCCAGACTGGTCAGGTTCTGCTTGATCAACATGATCAGTTTAATCAGCACCCTCCAGCAGCCTCGAATCAGCCAGTGGACCAGTATCAAATGCCTCAGCAGGATGGTCAACTCATGGGAGAGCATCAGCATCAACAATATCCACAGCAGTATGAACCTGCAGCGGGTATCGCTGGAGCTGAGCAAGTGAATGGAGGACCCCAGTACTTCTCTGATCAATACTCAACAGGTGTGGTAGCAGCTGAGCAACATGTGCCCTACCAGACCCAATGCAGTCATGAACAACAAGGCTATCTCAATGCTAGTATGTCTAATCATGTGCAGCAACCACCTCAACCTGTTGGGCCACCGCCTGATCAACAGCCCTCCGTCCAGCCAAATCCTCCTCCTCTTCAACAATCTCATCAGCAACCTGTCCCGCCTAGTCAACAAACTCTCCAACAACAACCCTTCCAACCCCAGCCATCTCAGCAACAACCTCAGTTGCCTCAACCGCAACAAGAGCAACAACAACCCCAGCTACCTCCACAACAACCCACTCAACAACAACCCCTTCAACCACAGCCACCTCAACAACAACCCCTGCAATCACAGCCACCTCAACAACAACCTACACAACAACCCCAGTCTGCTCAACAACCACCACCACTCCAGCCCCAGTCTGCTCAACAACCACCACCACTCCAGCCACCATCACAACAAGCACAATCCCAGCCACTACCTCAACAACCACCTCTCCAACCCCCGCCTGCTCAACAGCAACCACAATGGCCCCAGCCACCTCAACAACAACAACTACAGCCACAACCACCTCAACAACAGCCCCTCCAACCACAACCACCTCAACAACAGCCCCTCCACCCACAACCACCTCAACAACAGCCCCTCCAACCACAGCCACCTCAACAACAACATACACAACAACCCCAGTCTGCTCAACAGCAACCACAACCAACCCAGCCACCTCAACAATTACTGCAACAGCCCCAACCTGCTCAGCAGCAGCCGCAGCTACCTCAGCAACAACAGCCACAGCCACCTCAGCAACAACAGCCACAGCTACCTCAGCAACAGCAGCCACAGCTGCCTCATCAACAACAGCCACAGCTACCTCAGCAACAACAGCCTCAGCCACCTCAGCAACAACAGCCACAGCCACCTCAGCAACAACAGCCACAGCCACCTCAGCAACAACAGCCACAGCCACCTCAGCAACAGCAGCCACAGCCACCTCAGCAACAGCAGCCACAGCTACCTCCACCTCAACAACAATCTCTCCAACCTCAGCTTCCCCAGCAGCAGCTGCAACGCCCCCAGCAACCTCAACAGCAAACTCAACAACCCCAGCCACCTCAACAACAGCCACAACCGCCTCAACAACAACCACAACCGCCCCAACAACCACCTCAACAACAACCTCTCCCACCCCAGCCTGCTCCACTACAACAGCACCAACCATCTCAACAACAACCACAACATCCGCAACCACCTCAGCAACCACCACAACACCTCCAATCATCTCAACAACAACCACCTCAACAACAACCTCTCTCACCCCAGCCTGCTCAACAGCAGCCCCCTCAACCTCAGCCATCTCAACAACAATCTGTCCAACCTCAGCTTCCCCAACAGCAGCCGCAACGGCCCCAGCAACCTCAACAGCAAACTCAACAACCCCAGCCACCTCAACAACAACCGCAACAGCCACAGCCACTTCAACAACAACCCCTTCAACCCCAACCATCTCAACAACAACCACAACAGCCACAACAGCTCCAGTCATCTCAACAACCACCGCAACAGCCTCAACCACCGCTACAACAACCTCTCTCACCCCAGCCTGCTCAACAGCAAGAGCTCCAACCACCTCAACAACAACCCCAACCACCTCTACAGCAACCTCTTCAACAGCCACGGCCACCTCAGCAACAACCTCTCCAACCCCAGCCTGTTCAACAACAACCACAACAGCGTCAGTCACCTAAACAGCAACCCCTTCAACCCCAACCACCTCAACAAAAACCACAACAGCCGCAACCATCTCGACAACCGCAACAGCCACAACCATCTCAACAATCACAACAGCCGCAACAGCCCCAGCCACCACCACAACAATCCATGGCACCTCAGCAACAATCACAACCCCGGCCACCTCAACAACAGCAGGCTCGTCTACCGCCATCACAGCAGTCATCATTGCCGCTACAAGCTCCAAGACCGGGACAACAGGAACCTCCACGGCATGCACAGCCACAACCAACACCTCAACAGCCTGCACGACAGCCATCGCCCCAAGAGCCCGTACAGCAGCCGAAACAGCCCCTGCAGCAACCACCCCAGCAGCCAAAACAGCCCCTACAGCAACCACCCCAGCAGCCAAAACAATCAGCCCAACAACCAGCACCGTCGCCGCAACGGCCACCACAACAGGCACCAGCACCGCAACGGCCACCGCAGCAACAACAGCTACCACAACCGAAACCCACTGCCCAGCCTCACCGACAACGCCCGCAGCCTTCAAGGCAATTGCCTAAGAGTCAAATACAGTTCAGTCACAACCTACCTGTTGGTTGGGAAAAGCGGCTTGATCAGCGTTCGGGGCGTTTCTATTTTATTGATCACAGTAGCCAGACAACTCATTGGGAACCACCTCAATCCATGGTCAGTGCTATACCATCGGTGGATAGGTCTGCTAAGCCCATTGTCATCTCACCAGAGAGTGGACGTGGCATGCAACCGTCTGAAGGCGGGCGGGTAAGTTCAGGCTGCTGTTCACGCTGCTGTGTACCTTCCCAGGCTCATGTGTACTGTTGTGTGGGTATGCGTGCCGTGTATGCAAGGGTGCTGGGCTGTTTTCCCATAGGGCAAAAACATCTTTCTGATTCCCACCCACCGTAGCTCATTCCACCCATGCGTTGTCCAATTGAATGTTTTAAAATCCATGCTTGTTATCAGATTTCTCTTGTTCCGTGGGATCATGGGAACGTGTACCAGCTCGGCTTTACTCCACTGACTTTTCACTTTTAAAGTTAGAATGCTATACTTGTGCATCAATTACATGGCTCTTTGCTCTATTGTAGTATCGAACGCAGAGAATTGTGTATGGTTAGTGTCATTTGCTGTAACTTTCCTCCGGATGTTGGTTGTGCGATATCCTCTCACTCATGAATCACTCATGCCTGTGGCTGCCTCTACCTCAATGCCAAATCTACATGTATGTACTTCGAAGTATGGGTAACGGTGCTGTTGCTGTTGCTGTTGTTGTTGTTGTTGTTGTTGTTGTTGTTGTTGTTGTTGTTGTTGTTGTTGTTGTTTCAAATCTTTATTCTCACAATGTTGTTGGTTGCTCAGGGCAAGTGCTTGACTGGTTTGCGTAATCTGGGCAACACCTGCTTCATGAACTCCGTTATTCAGTGTCTGAGTGCCACTGAGCCACTGTCGGCGCACTTTCTACGTGGCAACTACCGCAAGGAGATCAACCCGTAAGTATGGCAGCTATGCAGTTGTTTGAAAGTACATGTACCTTTCATTGTGTTACTCGAGATCCAGGAAGGCCGTCTTTTCTTCTTCGCAGTATGCACCGTGGCATTAACATGTTGTAAACACCTTTCAATTTGACAATGCCAGTCCTCGTCCGACATTCACACCCTTCTGTTGGCACAAGCTAATTTGCCCTTGTCTTGCAAGTGTGCCCAGTACACAATGTAGATTTTACGGCACAAACTGACGATGGCGGGAAACTCCGTACCCTTTTGTCGATGTAGGTCTGTTGTGGTCCTGCTATTGATGTCGCCTGGACTGTAACCTCACTCATCTACTCTGTGATGTGCGTCTTGCGCTTGCTCTGTGCCATCCTGTGCCTCAGAACCAATCCGCTGGGCATGCGTGGCGAGGGAGCAGAGGAGTATGCGGCTCTAGTGCGTGTCTTGTGGTGTGGCAAATACAGTGCAATCAGCCCACAGTCGTTCAAGGTGAGCCTGACTTTTGTATTTATAACAATTCTACACAGTCATGTATTGTGAGAGTATAGGTACTGTGTTCCAAGTATTTTCAAGTACATCATACATACTGCGCTTTCTACTTTCCAAGGTATGGTCAGGCTTTTTCATTGTTCTCGGGCAGGAGGGGATTGCTGAAGGCATGCAATTCTTCCGGCTGTATCTAACTTTGGTTCTGTGGAGAGTGAAGTGTGTTGGTAGTATATGTGGCGCACGATGACACCACTTGCACATGTTCTTAGGTTTGTTCATACAAGCAAAATGCTAGGGTGAAACTGCTTTATGTGTGGCTGAAAGTGGACAATAAGAAACATGCACCAAAAGACAATCCTTTGATTTCTGTGTTGTGTCGTTTGTCTGTGTTCAGCGTAAAGTGTCGGAGTACTTGCCGCAGTTTGCTGATGGTGCTCAGCACGACTCGCAGGAGTTCTTGGCTTTCTTGCTGGACGGACTTCATGAGGACTTGAATCGGGTATGTGTTTAACGTGCTGTTGTACTGACTCAGTTTCCTGCAGATTATCGACTATCGTGGACATGAAGCTCTGAGTAGCAACCTAATCTTTGGTAGAGTTTTCGTCTTTTGTGTGTCACAGTAACTATAACACCTAAGGCAGCACCACGAAAATATGGCATCGTTTCGCGCGGTTTAGCAGGATTATGTTAGATTCGGTGTGAGTTATCAGTTTATCAGAGTGTACCTACTACTTCCTCCGCGTCATTAAAATTGTCGCTTCGCTTATCGCAATATTTGTGACTTGGCTCGTCTTCGTCAGACAGTCGGAATCGCTGTTTTCTGTGTTCGAACACTGGTGCGACCCTTCCTGCGCAATGTCTACTTGTTACTGAAGCCGTGATGGTCTCGGACTTTGTCGGAGCTCTCTTCCGCACCAAGCAAATTCATCGCGCTCCGCACTATTCCGCCCCAGAGCGCATTTCGTTTTCTGGAGTTCGCGCCGTCCCGCATCGTTCGAGTGGGCATTTTTCAAGACTGCAAGCCCGGGTATAAGAATCTTGGTATCTCTCCTGAATACGAAATGCTGAAGTTGACGATGGCAAGAACAAAGTGGTCTCAAATTCCTAAAATGCGCTACTTGTGGCGCATGTTGCTGCGAAGGTAGCAGGTCTGAAAACACCGACAAAATCAGCGAAGCGCTTGCCAAGGAAAGAAGGTGCGGAACTGCTTACCCTACCCTGCTGGAAGGTCGTTACAGTGTACTTGAAAAATGCTAGCTTCCCTTCATCCCCTGTCACCTGGAGGCATGGATCGCTTGAAAACGAAGTTTCTTGACCTGAATTTGAACGCGCGTCTTCTTCATCGTATTGTTGAGTGCTGAAGGGTTTGCCTCAAACTCTGATGAAGACGTCGACCTTAGCTGCAAGTGCAGCGAAGCGGGAGGCCACAAACTAAAGCTTGGTCCGTCGACAATGCTCTGCCTCAATTTCTAGCTGATTTCTTTGTCCCTCGAGTGGACAAAATAAATTTGAAAAATCGCTCTGGGAAGCGACAATTTTAATGACGCGGAGGAAGTACCAAATCGGTTTTTTAGTTCACTTAGATTTTTCAGTGATATTCCAGTTAAGCAAAAACAGACAAACTATTTTTTTATATCTATGAGTGAACAAGAATAATTATCTGGACAAGAAGCACGACAGACATGTTGACAGGTTTCTCCACTGGCGAACAGACAGTTTGCTCACTTACCGAGGACGTCTTCCGACAGTTTGGCTGTCCTTGGCTGTCCAGCTCGTGGCCGACCTGCGGTTCCTTGGAGTTTCCCTTCCGTGGCACAGGGCGCAGTGCTACCGCCTCGTTCATCGTCGTCAGAAGGTGCTGTCCTGCAACAGTTTGGAGGCGAAGCAGTTCTCCAGGAATGTACCTGTATTTGAAGTCACTCAATGACGAGTGGAGACTCTCTGCGCCTTACTCTGCGAGGAGGCCCAACCCTACGCGGACTCGTCGCATTAGCGGAGCTGTATGTTCTTTAAATAGATGCAGCTTGGGCGTGATGTGGCCAAATTTCCTGGACACGACTTCCTTCTTGCAGAGGGCCAGGAATTTCACGATGTCTTGCTGGAAGCCATCGCCGTAGCTTCCGCAACTGACTCCACGAGAGGCTGAGATCAGCCTTGATGGCCAGTGCAATGCCAGGTGACGGCTTCTTGGATTTGATTCCAGCATATAACAGAAGCTGCTCTTGTTCAGCAGCAGACAGTCTCTGCAAGCCTGCCACCTCTTGTGCCCTTGCTCCAGCTACACCGCCACACACTGTCTTGGCATGTCTCATCAACTCTGACGATCGGCGGCAGAAAGTTGTGTCCGCAGCTCGGTCAGACGGCACATTGCTCACAACAGCCCGTTGGTACACCTGTGGCTTGCCATGTGAGGCTGTCCTCGCCTCCAACTGCCCGTCATGCACTCTTGCTGCGACCAATTTGACCTGTTAGATGGTCAGCTACATTGCAGCACAACTTGGACGGTGGTGTTGACACTTCGCCTAATGGTGAGGATTGGAGTTGTCGCCATGGCCAGGTTGAACTGGCATGGTGCAACGTATTTTCGTAGATCTCTCAAAGGAGTAACGACCGGGCAGCCTTGGAGAGATGGCTAGTGGATGTCACACCAGAGTGTCCAACCATCCATCATTCTACGTGGAACTTTTCCTAGCGTCTTTAGCTCGGATGCCTTCAAACTGTTGCAGCGTGCAGGACATTGCTTGTGTGCTTCTAACCATCCACAAATACAGTCAGCCCAAAAGTTCTCCTCGCAGCATGGTACTTCTACTGCATTGTCCAGGATGTAAGTGTGTATGTTGCACTTATGTACTGTGTATTCGCTGATAAACCGCTCTTTGTCCAGTGGAATAGTTGCCGTGTGTTGGCTGCTGCCTATCACACATGCATTCTCCCTGGGTACATCCGAACCACATTCCATTTCTATTGCTGATGCTAGTGAGACTAATGGTTGTGTTGAGGTGGACGTGGTCCCGGCTGCGGTGCTTACATGTCCTTCCTGGGCGCGTGTTGTTTGAGGAGCGGCCGCTCGCCAGTGTGGGAGTTGCTTTGCATGCCGCTTTCCCCGTGGCCTTTGCTGTGTGACCGGTACAGAACGAACAGTTTGATCATTGATGTGCTGTCCGTTTTACAGGAGAGCCACAACCATCGCCGCAGTGCATGGCTTTTTCACTAGCTCTTTTCATGGCCCGTTGGCACAATACACATATGTAAAGGGGATGCACTTGTGCATCATCTTCAGCAATTTTGATCCTATGCACGGGATTCAAGCTGGGATTAATGTGACTCAACCGGATAACGGGTCTTCTGTGTACACGTGGAGAATCTTCTGCCACCAATGCGACAGTACGAGCAGTTGGCAAAGGTGCAACCACCCTTGTTGTTCTGCTTGCATACGGGTTTCCGTACTGCACTGGCGCCGGGGGCACGGAAAGGCGCTTGCGGAGACGCGGCATGATGCGGCAGAGTGGCCAGACCTCTTACACTTGCTGCAAAAACTCAGTGCCTGCCCGGTAAAGCACTGGGTATACAGCTCGGTGTGCATATCTCCGATGCTGAGGGTGTGGTCCTTTGCCATCAGCTGGCGCAGGAGTACGTCGTACTCCTAGACCGCGGCAAAGTGGTATTTTTGTGCGGCCTGGATAATCCTGAACTGGTGCTCCAGGAGGTCACTGCAAGGACCAGGAGCGCCGTTACAGGCAATAATGCTAAATATCGACCAGGCCTCGGTCCAGTCCGCGAGTGTCCCGATCTTCCTCCTTTGTGTGGACACTGTTGAAATAAATACTGCCGAATCTGCGCTCTCGTCCATGCGAATACGCTTGGCCGGTGGTTCAGACGAGACGGCACGACTGGGCAGGACCGAAGCCAGGTCAACATACTCGACACTTTTAATCTTTCGCATGGTGTCCACCAACACGTGGGCCACGCAAGAGGGCAGCCTGGGCGCCACAGGAAACGTACCTTGAACACCACTTGTCGCGGCCTGGTCCTCCACTGTTGGCGTGGGGTCCGTTGCGGCGTGCTGGTCCTGTGAGGTTGGCGCGAGCTGAGCTAAAGCAGCAGAAACTGCGGAGGCCATTGCCTCCTTGATGACGGCCAATTGAGTCTGCGAGAGCTCCATGATGACAAGAGAACGAAAAAAACCCTCAAAGGGCGCAATGGCAAAGAGTTGCTGCTGTGCCAACAAGCAAGAGACAAGAGTGCCCTCAGCACTCTTTGGTTAGCCTCGAAGTGCGCTTGCGCAGGCACCGCGTGCAATCTCCCCGTGCTGAAAGGGGCAGCCAGGGCGGCTGTGCGTACAGCCCCGCGGATTGCCGCGCCGCCTCGGCCGCTTGGCTGGCCTGCTCGGTCAACGACGATAACTACGGTTTGCCCTACTGGAAACCTACATATAAGGGCCAAGAACCCTTGTGCTATTATTTGCGCAATTTCAAAAGCGTGGAACACAACTTCGTTCACTGCGAATCAATTTGAAGTTCGATCGTGGTGCGCGGAGTATGAAAGTGAAGCTAGGAAAGTCACAGAAAAAGAACACGATTTCACCGTACAGAACCCAGTTTGGGCTGAGTAGTGATCTGCTTTAGAGTAGTATATCGAAGAGTATTTCAGTAATTCACCCCGCGGCCCAGCCAGAGAGTCAAATTTTAAATTTGGGCAAAAAAAAAGGACGCCATTTTTAGTGGGAGGAAATCGTGCAAAAATCCATGCAGTAGTACAAGTACATAGGAGCAAGAGTACATGAAACTCAGAGTGTGCAGCTTGGGGCTTTTTCCACTATGGGTGTCTGTCACGGCGGAATTCTATGATAACATCATATTTGGTACAGATCTGAGTCTGGAAGTGGCGTAGTGCGTACAACTGAGCTGCAGTTGTGCAGAAAGAGACCTGCTTGAATCCTGCTTCTACGCACTACATCACTGAAATGATGTAATCATGGAATTTTGCCTTGACAACAACCCATCAGAGCTGCACACTGGGTTTCATTTAGAAAAGCGATCCTGTCAGCTTTTCTATTATTGTACTCTTGTGTAGGAGCTGGGAAGCGAGACTCTAGCAAAGTTTATGGGCTCTTGGTATGGGCAAGAGTACATACCCCCCAAGAGTGTGCAACTCCCACATACCATGCTGTCCCGACAGAATTTCAAGTTGACGTCATTATTGATGATACAATGCTCCTTGCACCAGTGTGTACGGGTGTCAACGCATCACACGTTTTTCTTTGCAATAATTTGCACAGGATCAGATGGACTTTGGTCCACCACAGGTTCCGGATTCATCTGATAATCCGTGTACAGGGGGCATTGCATCATAAAATGACGTCAACTTGAAATTCTGTCGGGACAGCACCCATAGTCGAGTTGCACACTCTTGGGGGGTTATGTACTCTTGGTATGGGGGATAAGATAATAGGGAGGTTTCGCTCTACGGAATTACGTATGAAAATAACGTATGAACTGCACGGAATTTTCATACGTGAAAATCAGAGCTGTTGGGTTTCGCTCTACGTGATTTCTCCACGACTGCTCAACATGCGTTGTTGCTTTGGAGACGCGTTGGCTGCATGCGCCCACCGTATGCACCATGAACCGAAACCGCGTTTTCCATGATATTTTGCACGTGGTGTACGTTGTGTGTACCTTGTGTTTCGCGCGGCTTGAATGTTGCCATGGACAAATGCGGAAAATGCGAAAATATATTTCAAAAAGTCCTACGGAGAACCCAACGTAGGAAAGAGCTTTCCTACGGAAATCCGTAGAGAGATTTACGTATGAAAGTTGCCCTCGCTCCCCGGCGCGTACGACATACGGATTTTCATACGTAATTACGTAGAGCGAAACCCCCCTAATGTAGCTTTTACCATAATGAAGCCTTGCGGTGGTAATAGGAAGAGCTGTATGCCTGCCTGTACATGTGCAGTCTCCGTGGCGCAATCGGTTAGCGCGTTCGGCTGTTAACCGAAAGGTTGGTGGTTCAAGCCCACCCGGGGACGACTGTAAATTTTTTTCTGCATTTCCAATCTATTTGTGTGTCCATTCTTTTGTACACTGTATTCCTGTATGGCTGTAGACTCCAATGCAACTGTTACCACACTGGGTGGTCTCTTCATTGTGAAATTCTTGAGTGTGGTACTCGTACCAAGTTTTGGGCATGAGCCATTAGGGAGGTTTAGTCCCACGTAATCCGTGTGTACCACATGATACTCAGTGACCCACATACAGCCGTTTTCTGATTCACGACATGTGTATGGAGGCTCACTCACATTCCGCCAGAATGTGGGTGAAAATCAGAATGGAGCACATTGTGCAAGCTGTGAGGGTGCTCAGCTGAAGAGGTTTCCGAAGCACGAAATCAAAATATTCGATGAGCTTCTAAGCTTCGTCTTTGACCAAGTTTGGGCCTTTCGCTTCATGCTTTTGTTTGTTCCGTGTGACTAAAAACAACATTGCGAACGTGGGTCCATTGCATGAACTTTACGTGTATCACCCACGTTCCCGTATCCGTTACGTGGGACTAAACCTCCCTATTAGCGTTTGGGTGAAACCTCTGTGAACTGCACAAAAGACCCGGAACGTTGCGCGGCAGAAACCCAGTAGTTTAGGATAAAATAAGTACCGTATATTCTCTATTATAAGCACAGGTCTCCATTACTAGCACAGTCTCTAATACTAGCACACTGTGAGCACCTTTCGAAATATTATAAGCACAGTCTCTATTTTTAGCACGGTCTTGGTGGAAATCAATGCTGCATGCATGATATCTAGCATGTATTTCTTCTTGCTCTGTATGGATGTATTGGTTGAAAAATATAAGCACGGTCACCAATATAAGCGCGGTCTCCAATATAAGCACGGGGTAGAGGGGTGTTGAAAATATATAAGCACGGCGTTTATAATAGAGAATATACGGTAAGTACGTTGGTCTAACCGCAGTCTACGTACTCTTTTTGCCTGTGTGTCAGATCAAGAAGAAAGTTTACATTGCTGAGCCTGATATTGAGGGACTACCAGATCCGCAAGCGGCACGTGAAGCATGGCAGCGACATCTCAGTCGAAACAACTCCGTCATTATCGATCTGTTCCAGGTGAGGATGGGAGAAGAAATGGATGCAAGCTCGCGTCTTCTTCTATGTATGCTGTGTTGTCATCGCAGCAGTGTATACCGTCTTTATGGTATCCACGCTTCTAGTGTTCAGTGTGCATAGCATGTGTGACTGATTAGTGTTTACCTACGACTGTCGATATGTCTTGTGCAGGGTCAATTCAAGTCTTCTCTCAAGTGCAAAGTCTGCCATAAAGTGTCTGTGACATTCCAACCATTCATGTATCTGTCACTGCCTCTGCCGCATTCACGACGCCAGTTATCATTGGAGGTAGGCTCTAAGTTACCGTATTTTCCGGAGTATAAGCCGCACTTTAAACACCCCCAAAAAAGTCGCTGCAGCTTATACTCCGATCATCAAATTAACGGTGATGAATAGGGTAGATGTCTGTATTTCGTAGCGAAAAAATCTAGGTGTGGCTTTTACTCCAGTGCGGCTTATACAACCGGAAAAAGCTGTAGGTTACAACTCTTTTTATTTTTATGCCACATGCCCAAAGGACCAGACATCAATCCTCCAAACACCTACTGGAAACGATGGTTTGCCCAAATGATTCCCTTCTCGGCACTACCCATCATTCTGATTTTGTGTTTGTGTG